TAACCAATGCAACAATATCATTTGATTTAACTTGGAAGGAGTGGAGCACCGTTTGGGAATAGCATCTAACACAGGAATGCGCCATAGTTCTTTTAGGGAGAACATCTAAGTAATTTTATGGCAACAAAAATTTGCATCTGTGTAGTTCCCTTCATGCGGGGTAGTGCTTGGCGTGCTCAACATTAGTGATGCTTGATTCCGAGCCAGAAACTTCAGCTGCGTAGGGTGTGAGGTATGCTTGGAGGTGGGGGCAATGTGACGGAGGTGAAGGAATGTGGTCCTGGTCAGGAGTGGATGTGGGATGGGAAGGACAGCTGAGGATCGAACCTGACACCTAGGTTGCATGTAGATTCTGTGAGTCTGAGAGATAGGCCAGGGAGATTAAGGAGGTCGGAGCTGCAGGTGAGAAGACATTGACGGGAGCCAAAGAGGTCAGAGGAGTGGTTTCTTCTGACGCATTTACAAAGTCCAGGATCAAGCGGTAAGCATGGGGGAGTGAGTTGTGGAATATATACTCCAGCGTTTTAAGTGCTCCAGGATGCGGTTGCAAGGAGGGTGGGCCACCTGTCACTAAGCAATCTGGAGATGGAGGCAGCTTCACAATGGGCACATCTATTTGCCAAAGCCCCTCACATGAGGACGTGGTTTGAGCAGCTGGTGTTGAATAATCCTGGTACACGACATTAGATTTGAATCTCAAGAACATCAAAGGGACTGGAATCCATCTTGATTGGCCTGCAGAGAGGCAAGGGAAGGGATGTGTGCCCGAGCTGCGGACAGGAAGGTGGTGACAATGTTCTCACACATTTCATGCTGAAATGATTTGTCCACCCGGATGCTCACAGGGAGTTCCTGTTACCTTCCAGCCACCTAGTGAGGGCTCAAACCCACACTTGTCGGATATTGAACAACCAACTACAACAACAACAAGATTCCATTTATAAAGCGCCTTTCACGTCAGGAGGACGTCCCAAGGCACTGACTATCCTCTAGTGACTATCCTCCTCGGGAAGGAGTTAAGTGGAGTCTCCTTGGAACTGAACTGGCTCCAAGGTGACTTGTCTAGCAATGGAATGTTGGAATCAAGCCATCCCTCTGTAATGGTCTCGGTAGTCCGGCTCCTGAGCGAGGCAGGTCCACAGTATTCCAGGGTACTGCTGATGAAAGTACAACAACAATAACAAATGACATTTGTATTGCGCCTTTCGTGTCAGGAGGAGTCCCAAGGCGCTGGTACCTTGTATAGCCAGCCTGGCTCATTGGCAGGACCTGGAAAGGCAGAATGTCACGGGGGCAGGGAGTCATCCCACTCAGCTCCTGTTAACACTGCAAACCAAAGCGCTAGGGGGTAGGGTGGTCTTAACTGGACAAGCAGTGGGAAAGCTTGCCAGACAGCAAAATCAATGGCAACCCATGTGGCTTTACCTGGTTAGACTCCAGCAGTACCCCAATGCACACACTGGAGAACCTTGGCACTTGCCAACCTGCACCTAATACTTTACAAAATTGGGTAAGCAGAATGTGTCCCTCCAGGGAGAGACTGTGCATACCATTCCAACAATCTATGTCTGCATTTTCCATGGATAAGGTGGGATACATGGAATTCTCAGCTTGGTTTGGATGCTCTTGAGCATGGTGATGGGTTTCCGCATGTGTCAGAAACCTGAGGATGCTAAGCAAAGAGGCTTGGGATATGTCGCAGGTGCGAGGCAGGAGGAGAAACTGTTTCAGGAGCAAAATGACAATAGTGGATTATGAATGACTGGAAGTTAGAGACTGCACTGTACATTTCCCTGTTGGATCCTTTGGTTGCAAGCATAGCTGCAATGGTATAGCTAGTATACTAATAAAGATGAAATGTCTGTGTTTGTGTGTGTCTGTGTGTCTGGCAATAACGCAGTAACCAATTGACATAGAGACATGATTTATCCCCCCCAAAAAATATGCCCATGACACTCTCCCATGCAAGACCTTTCCGATGAGGTATAGACCATGTCGCCACATCAATCGGTTATTGTGTTCTTGGCAGCCAGACACAAGACATTTTGTCTTTATTAGTATAAGATATATAAGCATAAATATAAGACAGCAAACAGCAGATTTAAAAGGAAATTTCAGAAGACCTTCTTTATGCAGCGGGCGGTGCAAATGTGGAATTTACGTTCACTGTAAATCATTTTTGAAGCAATTCTTTTTTGGTCAGTCAGGTGTCTGACACCAGAAGAAGCCCATCACCATCACCATGAGTTTAACTAACAGTTCCATGCATCTCACCTACATGTGGAAATTCTCATGTATTGAATGGAATATGCGCTTATTGCTGAGAGCATTGAATTCAACAACAACAACAACAACAACAAGATTCCATTTATAGAGCGCCTTTCACGTCGGGAGGACGTCCCAAGGCGCTGTACAGTTGGGTCAGGACCCGAATTCAAGAACCCCACCCTCATTTTTAAATCCCTCCACAATCTTTCCACACCCTACCTCTGTGAAATTCTTAAACCTAACCAAGCCACCAGCTCCCTCCGCTTGTCTGTTTCACACCCCCCACCCTGCCTGCCCCACCATCAGCAGTTGGGCTTTCTGCCCTCACTCTCTGGAACTCCATCCTGGAGTCCCTTCACCTCATCCCCTCCCTCTCCTCCTTCAAGCTCCATCTGAAGAGCTTCATCTTTGACATGCCTTTGGTCATTTTCGTCCCAACCCTACCTCAGTGAGCAATGATCCAGATGGTCCAAAAACAACTGTACATTTATATAGCATCTTATAGTACCCATCAAGAGGATGTCTCAAAGGGCTTCACAGAGATGACTGGGTGTTCAATCTGGGGGTGGCAAGAGCTGAGGAAAATGAGTGTGTGGGGGGTTGGGTGAGGAAGGTAGTGACAAAACCATGGTCAAAAGGAAAAACTTTAAGAAGACATTCTTGGTGACCAAATGTGCAGTTTGAAACTCAATTCAAGGTCAAACTGAGCCTAAAGGTTGCCACATACAAATGAATGCTAGCATATGTGTCTAATTTTTTCACATTGTGAGCCCCAAAGTTGCAACTGTTTTTACTTAAATCTATTATTTTACTGGTTGTCGATTCATTGATTGATCAAAAGGATGAGAGAGAAAGGATCTCAAATTTCTCCATCTCGGATTCATCTTTAATTTTAAAAAACTACTATTACATATGCTGAGTTGGAAAAGCTATTTCCTTTATTTATACACTGGAGATTGGTCTGGAGATTGGTGGTGGGGGTGGGGGGTGGGGGGGATGGGGAGCCTATTCCCAATTTACCAGCAAGAGAGAAATGACAGTTCAATGATTTATTATCGGTGAAGAATGGAAACATCTATTTTATAAAGTTTTTTTTATAGTTAAGTTCTTTCCTGTTACAATCAAAAAACAAAACGATGCACAAAACTTGACCAATCTGCGGCTTTAAAGTCCTAGATTACCTTTTGCAGATGCTTATTGAAATGTATTATAGTTCTTCAATAGTGCTCAAACTTCAGAGCTGGGTATTTTTCAGAGCAGCAGAATGCAGTGGAGGAGCACAAGGTGAAGTTAACCTAACAACGTGAAAGCTGACAATAAGTCAATACATTTGATACTTCAGTGAGCAAACAGATAAGATCATTTTGAGAACATAGCACTCCTATTTGGAGGTTGAGGCACATTCCTGCCGCCCACTGAATAAAAGGACTCCGCCCAAATGTGTCATTACCTGTAAAAATCCACCCATTTAGATATTATTCTAATTTCCAATTACAAATAAGGTTTGAGAAACCTTGATCGGGTAAAGGTTCTTATTTAATAACACCTCTTCTTGATTGGATTAGATCCTTAGGATTGGAGGATTGGAGTCCTATAACTCAGTGGTTAGAGCACTCGCCTTGAAAGCAAGACACCTGGGTTGAATTCCAGGCAGGGCGAAACCTTGGGCAAGTTTCCTTATTAATTACTTACGCCTAATAATAATCCTGCCAAAACAAAAAACAATAATAAAAATTGGTCATTTTCAATCCACGACTGTTTGTGGGACACTGCTGTGCGCAATTGGCTGCCGTGTTTCTCCCACAAATATACGGTCAATTCACTTTACAGTATATTCTGTGGAGCGCTTTGAGACGTCTAGAAGACGTGAAAAGCGCTATATCAAATGCAAGGATTATTATTATTATTATTAAAGCTTTTGAAATAGCTATACCATTCTTCTCAAGATATAAATCACTGGTTTCTAAAAAGAAATGTATCTACCAATAATTCAGAGAATGCATTCCACTTGAAACGAAATAATCCACTTGTCACAACTTTACAATTGGATCATGTGGTAAATATCATCCAGGAAGGGCACTTTCCAATGCAATTGAAATTCTAATTATTCTTTTTTAGAAACACACAGATTTCCTCAATTGGTTCTATTTCAGAGTGTGTCGTGAAGAGTTTTTTTTTAATGGAAAATATCTCCTGATCATTCCAGGGATTGCCTTTTTATCCAGTGTTCTTTAACAGTTACACCTGGACTGTACCAGGGATCGTTAAGGTCATTTATTTATCAGATATTCATCAGGCTTCGTTGTGTAACATGTGATACTTCGTCATATGCTGTTAAGAGAAATCAGAGGAGACTTTGCTCAGTGTCTTGTATATAAATGATGCTGGGAACAGAAAGTGCATCCACACATAGACCCATTGCATCTGTTCCTTTTGCTCCTTCTTCTTCCACTTTGCAGCAGCAAAGAACCAGTTAAGTGCAGTAGAAGACTTGCAGGGGGAGCAAATCAACAGTCAATCTCTTGTTGGAAATCATGTTAGATCTTTGCCGGAGAGCGAGCAACAATTTAGATTTTTAAATGCATACCTTGAAAACGTCTCCTTGCACTTTTTCTCGACTTGTTCCAGAAATTCAGCTCAGAAATTGAACTTCGTCCGTTGTAGCTGCTGTTTGCCCGCAAAGGGAAGGAGGGAGGGAGGGGGGGAGGTGGGAGGTCGCTCCTGCAATTTAAATAGCATTCAAATGCAATTTCTTAAGTACATTTCAGCCGTTACAATGCAGAACTGATGAACGATCCGACCTACCACCCAAAGCCTGGAGCAATGTAGGTTACCAGTGCTCCAGGATAGAAATATCCAATCTGCAATCTGAAGCTGATAGGAATTGGCAGTGTTCTTGTGTGTAAAATAACAGGTTTACTTTCTGATTTTTTTTTTAAAAAACAGCATTATTCATTTTTTTGCAGGTTATGCCACCACGAGCTACATGTGATGTTGCAGAGACCAGTGGGGCTGGGGACAAGTGCCCAGGGGAAGAAGGTCAGTCAAATGCACCAGTGGATCACTGGCTGATCTCTCGTTATTTCACTGGCTGATCTGTTATCTCTGCTTTGCCTGGTGTCTCTCATAACATGTTTGCCCTCGTCTCGATTTTCTTTTTATTTGACAGGGAATAAGTAAAACTAATAAAAATAATCCTTGCATTTAACGCAGCCCCTTGTCTCATTGTTGAGACGTCTCAAAGGGCATCACAGGATATACTGGAAAGTGGATTGATTGTGCATTTGATGATTGGGATTTAACTGTTAAATTGAGTGTTTGCGAACAAGTCAAACAAATGGAATGACTGACTTTTAATCTCTTAGGGAGCAGTGAGAGCTCTGCTGATGACCCAGGTATGCTCGCTGTTTGTTCCACCATGGACCTCATGGAAGAGACAGCAGATGATCCTTGGAATCTCCCCACTCTCGAGAACACGGGCATCAAGTGGTCAGGTATTTATTTGCTGAGCTTCCACCAAATCGTACACCTTACATCCGTCTCGTTAGAATGGCAAAGGGAGAGGCAACTGGGTCTGACCTACTCTTCTTAACTCACTGATGACAGAAATGGATAATAAAGCAAAGGTCCTCACTGTGGTGAAGAATACTGCGAAAATATTATTACTTCTGGGATTTCTCTACTTGTTCGTTTGCTCTCTGGACATCCTGAGCTCGGCGTTCCAGCTTGTCGGAGGTAAGGCATTTGGCTTTGAATAATAATATTTGCATCTCAAAGTGCTTCACAGAATACATTGTAAAGAGGATTGCCTGTGTATTTTGTGGGTGAAACACGGCAGCCAATTGCGTACAGCAACAGTTGTAGATTTTACTCAAACTGCACAAAATTTAATGTGATTTGGGGGAAGCAGGTATGTGGGAGATTGCCTTAGATGGTGGAAATCAAGCAAACTGTGCTCTCTGTTCTGCAGGAAAAGCCGCTGGGGATATCTTTAAAGAGAGTGAGGTGCTAGGAAACCCGGTGGCTGGGCTGGTGATCGGAATCCTGGTTACAGTTCTGGTCCAAAGCTCCAGCACCTCATCTTCTATCATTGTCAGTATGGTGTCATCTGGGTGTAAGTAACAGCAGTGCTAATACTACTAATCCTTGCATTTGATATAGTGCCTTTCATGTCATCGAGATATGTCAAAGTGCTTCACAAGCTAAACTAAAAGTGGATAGACTGTGTATTTTGTGAGCAAAATGATCAGAATAAAACAGTGATTAGTGATCAAAATAAGGCAAACCTTCAACCTTCTTTTGTACATTTTTTAAGGGGGTGACAGGGGGGACGATTATGGTGTTTATTGCTCTCCTAACTTTTTTTTAACATCTTCTGTTGTTTATGTTCAGTATTAGATGTAAAGATGGCCATTCCTGTGATAATGGGAACAAATATCGGGACCTCTGTCACCAACACCATTGTAGCACTGATGCAGGCGGGAGATAGGAATGAATTCAGAAGGTAAATAAAAAATAAAGACCCAGATCTTTGTTCAGTTCTGGCTTCTACATACACTTAACATCTGCAATAACAGTTGGGAACAGACTAAGTACATTTGTTGGAAGGAGCCCAGAGGTTTGACAGGCTACTACCTGTTTGACAGGCTACTGTTCTTTGGTTAAATGAAACCAATCTTCAACAAAATTATGTTTGGGCAAACTAGCTTTTTTAGTGGTGATAGTGGGTGTGAGGGGTGAATGCAGGTGCAGATGGTATTAACAGTTTTATAGATGGATATTACTCAGTTGGAAGCTCACAGGGAGTTCCTGGTACCTGCCCTCACCAAATGAGAGCTCAAACCTGTGCTTGTCAGATGTCAAATGATCAACTAGTGACTATCCTCCTTGGGGAGGAGATAAGTGAGGTCAGGTGAGGTGACATGCTTAGTAATCGAATCAGCCCTCTGTAATCTGGCTTCTGAGCTAGATGAGTCCATAGTCCTCCAGGGCTTTTTCCGTTAGAACTCTGATTCACAGGTTTACTGTACTATATTGGCTATACTGTACCTCCAAGATTTTATCAATAGGATGGTCAACAATCATCAATAGACTGTAACTTGGGGTCTAAAATTAGAAATAAAAATGAATTATCCTGATGTGTATGACATTCTCCCCCACCTTCCTGACTCACACGCACACACACACACACATCCGGGAAGCTGGGTTGCACATTTGACTTCCACCTACTGGCTGACAACTCTTGAGATATTTGTTCAGTAAAAGCCACCATCCAGTCACTGGCAGTTGGAATCAACATTGGAAACAGTGTTCTGTTTCCCACACATCAAGATAAATCATAATCAATAACAGTGCCAACAATTTTATATTTATGTAACTCCTTTCATGTCATAAGGATGTCCCAAGGTGCTGTACCCAAGCAAGTAGGATTTAAATTTAGAAATTCTGAAGGATTTTTAAAATTTAAATCCTAAATTAAACCCACTGCCACCATTCCTTGAATTACTTTAGTCCTGCCTGCCTTTGACTGACATATCTCCTCTGAGACAGTTCAACTTTAGGAAGACCCCTCACCCTCAAGGAGTACTGAAAGAAGTGAGATTTTTAACCATATTATCTATACTAATAAAGACAAAATGTCTGTATGTCTGTCCGCCAATACGTAATAACCGACTGACGTAAAGACATGATTTATACCTCATCGGAAAGGTCTTGCGAGGGGGTGTGTCATGGGTATACTGTTTTGGGGGGGATCTACTATCATTGATGAGCTATGACCTAAACAAGCACATCACACATGTTGGCAGTTTTGCTTAAGGTGTCCACACAGTGTTTATGACATGTTAAATAGTTTGTGAGTGGTATCACTGAAATCTACATTCCATATTGGATTATTTGGTTGCAAGCGTAGCTGCAGCGGGTACAGCTAGTCATATATAATTAGAATTATGAATGTAGATAATGGTGTTTATTTCCTTCCTAGGGCATTTGCAGGTGCGACTGTGCATGATTTCTTTAACTTCCTCTCTGTGCTTATCCTATTACCAATTGAAGCAGCCTCTCATTACCTCTTCCATCTTACGAACATAATTGTGGAAAGCTTTGCACTTGAAAGTGGTGAGGATGCCCCAGCTCTTCTAAAGGTCATAACCGAACCCCTTACAAAGCTTATTATAGAGGTAAGCAAAATTGTGTACATTATTAAACATTCACTACCAAAGTAATTGCATACTTGATAAGAGATCATTAAAGATCTCTTTTGCAGTACTAGATTTTGCTTCAGGGGTAAGTTTTGCGTGTTGTCACAACTTTCACTGTATCATTAACCAGGAAAAGCTACTGTGAAGCAATTAAGTAACATCATTATTCGCCTTATCAGATGTCAAATGACGAATTAGTGATTATGTTCCTTGGGGTGGAGGTAATTGTGGTCTCCTTGGAGCTGTGGCTTCAAGGTGACATGCTTAGTAATGGAATGTTGTAATCGAGTCACCCTCTGGGGCAATCTCTGTAATCTGGTTCCTGAGCCAGGTTGGTCCACAGTACTCCAGGGTTTTATTCCATTGGACCTTTGATTCATAGGTTCAAAGACATGGCTGTACCTCCAAAATAGACAAGCGCAAAATATTTCCAAGTGCTTCACACCGGCAAAGTGTTCTAGGTGGGCAATTATCTAGACTCTAGTTCAAAAAAGCATAGACCAGAGGTGTATTAATTGGTTTGAAGTCAAAGGCGTTTCACAGCACTGGATTAGGTTATTATGCCTTTTCACAAGAGAAGATGAGTCAAATGAAACTTATGTGGTGGCATTTTATACTGTTGTAAATTAATGAGATCAATTTATGTTGTACGATATTTTACAAATAGTTGAAATGGAACTGGCTCCGAATTGCTCTGAGGTTACTGAGGATACAGCCCATTTATTGTGCTGGATGGGATCCAAAACATTGTCAACAATTGTGATTAGGTGTCATTTTGGCTGAGACAGAAGGTTGTTAGGTTCAAGTCCCCTTTTGGGAATTTGAATTCCACAATCTAGGTTGGCACAGAGAGCAGAGAGCCCAGCAGTGTGAGGAGGGAACTGAGTGAAGTGGAACAGAGTGGGAATTCTGTTAAGGAGTTTGGTGAGAGTGGCAATTCTTCAGCAAGAGAGAGATCAGAGAGCAAGAGAGAGATCAGAGAGCAAGAGAGAGATCAGAGAGCAAGAGAGAACTCTTTCATTCAACAGAGAAGTGGGAAATCTATTTTGAGGTAGAGGCAACCTTATATGTAAGCAGGTAAACAAGTCAATTAGCAATGAATCATAGGCCAGGTGATGGGAATTAAAAAATCTCCTGACTAGTTGAAAGTGGGTGCCTTTATTTGAGTCCTATATAAAGGAGAAGACTTGCGAGAGCCCAATATTGAAATGTTATGATGCTAACGGAGACCTGGCTCAAACAAGGGCAGGAATGGGAGCTGAATATTCCTGGCTACAATGTATTCAGGATAGGGAAGGAAGAAAAGGAGGGCGGGCTGGCAATATTAATTAAAGTCACAGTTATGGCCCTGGAAAGGGACGATGTGCTGGAGGGTCCAAAAACAGAATCTATTTGGTTAGAGTTAAGGAGCAAAAAAAAGAGCTGTTACTCTGTTAGGTGTATACTATAGATCACCAAACGTGGGAAGGAGATAGACGAGCAAATCTGTAAACAGATTTCCGAAAGATGCAAAACCAATAGAGTCGTGATAATGTGTGCAGGATAACTTTCTGGATCAGTATGTTTATGTATGAATATGTACTAAAAAGGTTGTCAGCGCTCAAGATAGATAAGTCACCTGGTCCAGATGGGATGCATCCCAGTTACTGAGGGAAGTAAGGGTGGAAATAACGAAGACCCTGGCCACAATCTTTCAATCCTCCTTGGATGGTGCCAGAGGACTGGAAGGTTGCAAATGTTACTCCACTGTACAAAAAGGGGCAGAAGGATAAACTCAGGAATACAGGCCAGTCAGCCTAACGTCAGTAGTGAGAAAACCTCTAGAGACTATAATCCGTGACAAAATAAATTTTCACTTAGAAAAATATGGGTTAATAAAGGACAGTCAACATGGATTTGTTAAAGGCAAATCATGTCTAACAAACCTGATAGAATTTTTTGATGAAGTAATGGAGAGGGTGGATGAAGTTAGTGCAATTGATATAGCTTATATGGATTTTCAAAAGGCATTTTATAGAGTGCCACTCTAAGAGACTTGTAAGCAAAATAAAAGTCCACCGTATTAAAGGGATAGTGACAGCATGGATACAGAACTGGCTGGGAGACAGAAAGCAGGGGGTAATGATGTTTTTTCTAACTAGAGGGAAGTGGGCAGTGGTGTTCCCCAGGGGTCAGTATTGGGGCGACTGCTGTTTTTGAGTAATATCACTGAAATCTACATTCCATATTGAATGCTTTGGTTGGAAGCATAGCTGCAACCGGTACAATTTGTCATATATATCACATATCCAATATGTGATACTAATAATTCCTGCTCTCAAACTACCGCCCCATCTCCAACTTCCCTTTCCTCTTCAAGGTCCTGGAATGAATCGTGCTTTCCAGGTTCGCTCCTTCCTCTCCCACCATTCCCTTCAAAACCCCTCCAATCGGGTTTCTGTGCTGTCCACAGCAAAGAAACAGCCCTGGTCAAAGTGACAAATGACATTTTATCCATCTGCGACCAGGGCTCCCTCTACCTCCTCATTCTCCTTGACCTCTATGTTGCCTTCAATACCATTGACGACTCTATCCTCATCCACCGCCTCTCCTCTCACCTCAACCTTCACGGTTCTGTCCTTGAATGGTTCAGATCGTACCTCTCATACTGCCTCCACTTCATCTCCACAAACGGTTTCTCCTCTCACCCTCGTACCGTCTCATGTGGCATTCCTCAGGACTCTGTCCTTGGTCCCCTCCTCTTCATCATCTATATGCTCCCACTTGGTGACATCATCTGCAGACATGGGGTCAATTTCCACATGTATGTGGATGACACCCAACTGTACCTCTCTGCCTCCACTCTTGACTCCAGAACCACTGCTGTCCTGAATGAGAGCTAACTTTCTTCATTTGAACATCAACAAGACCAAGGGTCTCCTGATTGGCTTCCGTCAGCACCTCCTCACCTCAGGTGCTGACAGCATCACCATCCACTCCACCTTACTAAGCCAGTCCGGAACCTTGGCATCTTGTTTGACCCTCAACTATCCTTTCTACCCCATATCCATGCCACAACCTGCTCTGCCATCCCCCACCTCCGCAACATCGCCCGGCTCCGCCACTGTCTCACACCATAGGCCACTGAAACCCTCATACATGCATTTGTTACATCCAGAACTCTGCAGCCCGTGTCCTCTCCTGCACCAGTCTCCATGACCCTATCACCCACATCCTTGCCCGACTCCACTGGGTTCCCATTACACAGAGGATGCAGTTCAAGCTCCTGGTCCTCACCTTCAAAGCCCTCCATGGCCTTGCTCCCCTCTACCTCTTCGACCTCCTAACCCCCTACCATCCTGCTCGCTCCCTCTGCTCAGTGGCTCTGGCCTGCTTCACATCCCACACTCGCCCGCTCCACCATTGGCGGGCTGGCCTTCTGCCACTCTGCCCCTACCCTCTGGAACTCCATCCCATTCTCCCTCCACTTCGTCCCTCCCTTGCCTCCTTCAAGACCCATCTCAAGACACTCCTCTTCAACCATGCTTTTGATCTCCCTGATTCCCCTCCTGCCCTCCACCCTCCCCAAACCCGACCCCCAGCTCAGGTCCGAAATACTGACTGTCCAGCGCCTTGGGACGCCCTCCTGACGTGAAAGGCGCTTTACAAATAAGACCATAAGATGTAGGAGCAGGAGTAGGCAATTCAGCCCCTCGAGCCTGCCCTGAGATTTAATAAATCATGGCTAATCTTTTAACTTAATTCCATTTTTTTTCAGACTTTGTTGATTTCAGATTTGCAATTCTCTACTCTTGAATTTCACAATCTGATACTCGCAAACGAGAAGTTTAAATGAATGTGGTGGATCTGCTTTGTGATACTGTAAATTAGATCCAATTTTGACTGAAAAAGCACGAAGGCCAGCACATCATAGGCAAAGGGAGGCACAGTATCTTATCCTGTTGTCTTTGATGCTTTTGTCAACAGAGGCTGGAAGAAGATCATCTTGAGATATGGGGATAAACTTCCTAATTATAATGCAGTCCCATCACAGAAGTCCCAGTCATCACAGAGATGTCTAGTTGTGAATGCTGTATTTCAAACTCAATGAAAAAAGTACAGTGCTTCTATTTGGATTGTAAGATTGAAGTGGTAACCAGTGTATTTCATTTCAGCTGGACAAAAGTGTCATAAGTGACATAGCAACAGGAGACCCAGCTGCTGTAAACAAAAGTCTTGTTAAAATTTGGTGTAAGACTGAGACAATCGTGGTAAGTTAACTTATCCTAAGATATAGATGATTGTTTGTTCCCCATCCTATATCTGCATTGTTCTCCATCTCCTTCATGCTCTTCCCATAATTTCTGCTCTTCTGACTCTGCTCTACAACTTCTTCTCACTCCGTCTACCCATCGTTGCTTCAGGGACTATATTATTATTTTATGGAGCTCTTGCCAGATTTTGTTTATGCCTTGCACTTTCTCTCCCTGCTTTTAAAATTCTCTTATAATATTTAGATTAATTATTTTTTAATCTCTTGAATTAATCCCTTAGTTAACACGCTCAGTCCCTTTCCTTTCCTCATCTGTTTGGTCACAGCACTTCATCATTATGAAGTGTTTTGACCCTTTTACTTCTTGAATGGCGCTATATTAAGTACAAGTTGTTATCGTAATGACCTTGAAGCTTGCTCATCTAGTCCAGTTGAATAGCTTTAGTGACATGTCCTGTACACATGTAGAGTAAGGAACATTGGTTTCAATATGGCACCAGGAAATACTCAAAATCCACGAGCAGGATGGGGAAACAGAGAAACAGAGTAAAGTAACAGATGGAAAAGAATAGACAAGAAAGTCACTGACTTCATGTGATGCAGTATATGTTTTATCTTACAGACAGAGAGTAATGTGACTGTGCCCAGTGAAGCCAATTGCACATCACTTGAATGGTGCTGGAGTGATGGCAATACCACTTGGACTCTGAAAAATATAACAGAGACATTGAATCTTGAAAAATGTAAGTTTATGCATAACTGGTACTTAGCAACTTTCATGCAGGATAATGTCTTACAGTGCTTTACAAAGATGATGTAGATCACCGAGTAAGGAGGGTTGGGGATTGGTTTTGAGAATACTAGCTGAAGACATGGTCAAAGAAAGAGATTTTTAAATAAGGAAGAAAGAGAAGGCTCGGCAAAACATTTTGGGAAAGATTTTCAGAGAATGAGGACATCAATGATGGAATGGATGGCATGACAAATGAATCGTCTTGGCTGAGATTACAGATATTGGGTGGGGCAAAACCACTAAGGTGTTTGAGTGTCAGGAGGAAGATGTTGATATGATGAGCAACAGGAAGTCAATGGAGATTGTCTGAGATGGGAGTAATGTGCAGGAGGGAAAGTTCATATGATCTGGTGATTTTGTAGGCTTGACACAGGGAAGTAAATGAGGATAATGTCAAATACCTTGATAATGACTATCTTAGGTCACAAATAAAGAATGTCTTTTCTCAAGAGATACAAAAGAATGCCAGTGACAGATATACATTTTGCATAGGTTAGTGTCTTGAGAAGAGTAGGAGTAAAATGGCTCTTTTACACACAGGGTGAATCAAACAGTCGTGATACCATTACAATGTCAAATATGTCTTAAAATATATTATGATTTTTTTTAGATAATAGGGTAGATATCATGACTTTTTAGTTACCCTGTATATATGGATATAATTAAAATATTGCTAATATTTATGGATTAAAATATAATAGGCCCCAAAAATTAAAATTGTAATTTTATAATTGTCATTTATTTTTTAACATTTAATTCATCTTCACTGTATTTTTTTTAAAAAGTACATTTAAAAACAAGGTGCAATACTGTGTAAGAATGACATGGTGTTTACCAATTATGTTATGAAATATTAAAACTGCAGTGTTAAAGTTTAATGGTGTTACCATATATTATCTTAGCTGCTTTGCCATATTTGGAGCATGAGAATGCTGCATAGTTGTAAGATGATTTTGTTTTCTGTTTCCTTTCCTTTTTTTAGGTACTCATGCATTCACATATGCAAACATATCCGATTTAGGCATTGGCCTCATTCTCCTTGCAGGATCCTTGCTTATCTTGTGCACTTGTTTGATACTTATTGTCAAGCTTCTTAGCTCTATGTTGAAAGGTCAAGTTGCCACAGTTATCAAAAAATTTATCAACACCGGTGAGTGGAAATACAAATTTTATGTCATGAGTGTGAAAATAATTCCTTCAAAAAAAATTGGTCACTTCAATCCACGACTGTTTGTGGGACACTGCTGTGCGCACTTGGCTGCCGCGTTTCGCCCACAAAATATAGTCAATTCACTTTACAGTATATTCTGTGAAGCGCTTTGAGACTTCTCAAGGACATGATAAGGCATTAAGGGATGCTAACCATAATTCTTTTTGGGCTGTTTCCTTATACATCATTTCACCAAGAATTATTACTAGAACAAAGGAAGCCTCTACTTTAATTTCAGGCGGTTAACTTGGAACAGGCTCTAGAGCTACTATCTAGAGCTACCAACAGAGTCAAGAGGTACTGTTTGGAGAAATGGGGGCATGAGCAGGAGAATGGGACTGGATGTTGCTGTTTCCAATTCAAAAACCTTGCTGTAGGAATATGTACGCGCTGTGCAATCTGTTAGGATTCAGTCTGTTTACTATGATGCATAATGTTATTTTGTGATATACTTGTCATTTAACTGTCTTTTAGAAATGTGGACCTGGCAGATTTTGAACAACTAAAAGAAGCTGACTTTACTTTTAAATCATTCTTTTGCAGATCTGAAATACCCATTTGGGTGGTTAATAGGATATTTGGCCATACTGATTGGTGCTGGGATGACTTTCATTGTGCAAAGCAGTTCCATTTTTACCTCAGCCCTTACTCCACTAGTGGGTAAGTTTTAAGGAATGTAGTTCTTTAGTACACGGTATGGTAAATGTTATGCATGGTAAATATTATTTTACTAACACATTAAATTTACATTATAATTTTTCTGACAGGCCTTGGTGTTATAAGTATTGAGCGATTCTATCCTCTTACATTGGGTTCCAACCTCGGTACTACCACCACTGCAATATTAGCAGCTCTCGCCAGTCCAGGAGAAACATTAGCCAACTCTCTGCAGGTTAGCAATGAAATAGGTCCAATGGTTAAATGTCGTGTGTCTTATTTCTTACATATCTCTCAGGTTAAATTATATGTATTTGAGGACAAATGCACTTTTGTGCAAATATGTAGTTTTCATATTTTTCCCCACAAAATACACAGTCAAACCACTTTACAATATATTCTGTGAAGCACTTTGAGACATGATGTGATAAGGGGCTATATCAAATGCAAGGATTATAATGCATAATATAATGCAATATAATACTTGTAGGGCAACTTAGAAGGTTATGCTAGAAAGCTTAGTTGAGGAAGGGCAGGAGGAGGCTCATGTGGAGCATAAACACCGGCATAAACCATAGAATGATCTGTTTCTGTGCTGTATATTCTATTGTCTTCCTATTGCAAAGTATTATTCAGTTAGGACCAATATACTATTACTACCAATTTAAAGTGGAAGATACTTTTGTTCTCCTCTTAAATGACTTGATGCCGTGATGGTAGGATGGTGTGTCTTGTGGAAATATGAGATGAGAATGGACCAAATTAATTTTGTGATCTTGTTATCTTACTTCTCCTCTGGCTCAAGATGTGAAATGGTCTTACAGTTTGCTCCAGCACTTCACTTAAATAACCATGCTTCACAAGAGGATAATTAGGAATTGGTGGGTTGGTTGGCTATTGGGACTATCAGAGTTTGAGTGCGATTGTATTTTCATGCAGTGTCTATGTAAGCCAACTGTGAAATAACCAAATAAAGATCAACGTTTGTAATATAGAACAAGAGAGAAAGAAGGGGAGGTTGAATAGTATAGTACACTGGCCAATATCTGACCCCAAGAATGGTGCTGAACTAACCTGTGCTACTGTAGGTATTAACCTAAACATATTGCTAATTGTGCCACACAAAAAAAAATATTATAAAATAAAATCAAAATTATAATTTTAAAATCACTATAAAAATCATATTTAAAAATCAATCCCACGTTGGAATTCTGTGGCATATTGGTTAGAGCAAGTGAGAGGACCTGGGTTTGAATCCCTGGCAGGACGAAACCTGAGGCAAGTTTCCTTACTCCACACTCTGTTTACCTAGTGGTAAGTAGGAACCTGGTTGTTAGTCAATTGGCAGGTTGCTTTTCCAGGAGTAATAATCCCTTCAAAAAAAATATAAAAAATAATAATTTGGTCACTCGATCCACGCGTGTTTGTGGGACACTGCTGCGCGCAATTGGCTGCCGCATTTTGTCCATAAATTTCGTCCATAATGTGATTGTCAATTCACATTACAGCGTATTCTGTGAAGCATTTTGAGAGGATTATTATTATTATTATAATGTTAGAATGCAACGATTATTATTATTATTATAAGAAGCTCTGTATAAATGAAATCTTGTTGTGGTTGTATGCTATTGATATAATTGATATAATTTTTTTTTATTTTGTAGATTGCTCTGTGCCATTTCTTTTTCAATATCTCTGGAATTCTCATTTGGTACCCGATACCATTCACACGTATACCAATCCGTCTTGCTAAAGGATTGGGAACCTACACTGCCAATTACAGATGGTTTGCAGTTATCTACCTTATTATTTGCTTTTTTTTGCTTCCACTGCTGGTGTTTGGGTTATCAGTTGCTGGTTGGCAAGTTCTGGTTGGAGTGGGCATTCCTGTCATATTGCTAATAATCATTGTAATTATCGTCAACATTATGCAATCAAAATGCCCAAGATTTTTGCCAAAGTTTTTGCGAACCTGGAAGTTTCTTCCCATTTGGCTGCGTTCGTTGGAACCCTGGGACCGAGTAATGCAACGTTTTACAGACATTTTTTGCTGTTGCTGCAAGAAAAAGTGCTCTAACAAGATGAACAAAAAGGAAAAAGGAATCAAATCTTTTGAGGTTCATGAGAATCCAGTATTCTTAGATGCTAAACAGAATGATGTGAAGGCATCTGCAGTTATAGAAAATGAAACACATGATCACACAACAAAAATGTAGAAACGGAACTAAGCAAACACCTAAAGTATACTTTGCAAAATAGAACAATTGTTTTATGGGATTAACCGTTATCAGCACCTATCACTTCTGATACTCTCAATGGATTGGCAAAAATCTATGTAAAAGTGATTCCTTCACCAATTTATATTGTTTTGGATTGTTGTTCTCTGTATTAGTCACTTATCCTTCTGCCCTTTCACTGATCTACCAACCCAAATATCATGATCTTTTATCTTAACAAAACATGTGTATACATGAACCAAAATATTACTGCTATCAATAGCACATTAATACTGGCACATTAGGATATATTAAGATTGGAAGATTTAATATTGATCAACAATGAAAAATGTTCCAAAAACAAATATGTAATTGGATTACCATGGTTAGTTTGCACTAACCTAACCTTGTGACTTGAAATATTTAGCGAGGTAGGCCTGTAGGATTCCAACGAAACAGCAGATTTTACATTGTACAATAAGTACTAGTTGAAACACATAAATTGTTTTAATTTGCTCAACTATGTGAATCTTAATCATAGATGTCCTATTTGAAAATTACTCTGATAGTTGTCACAAGTCAGTTTTTCTGTTGTTTCCTAGTTTATTTGTGTTTTATGGGTATTCAGACGTCAATTCATAGTGAGGTAACAATAAGATTAAATTCCAAATTATAATTCATTGTGCACAATTACCTCTTAATGATACGGAATTGAACTGTGGGACAGAACAACATTAAAGCGTAAAATGGGTGCACTAGGGAAAAATACAATACTTCCCAACAAAGGGGTGCTTCACAACCTTTGGGACTGATTGGAAAAAGCGACGTCATGATTCTTGAGGGTGAAAAATTCCTAGTGTAGTGCTGACCAGCTCAGCACCCCTCTGTGTAAGACACATTGGTTATAAATTCTTGAGTAAGATGCTCATGTACCATGGATTCTGTGCATTATTTCTACCTGAGGTCAAGTTTCAACAATATTTATATGTATGTCGGTTCTGTTAGAATGGTGCTATCATGATAACTGCAATTGGCTAACAAATGTCTTGTGACATGCGCCTCACTCATATTCTGCTGTCAGGTCACAAAGATCTCAGAATTTTAGTTGGTATGATGATATGTGACAATCATCCTGTGAATTGTAGCAGGAGTGTTTGAATGGCTGAAACTATTCTATCACAATGTCAACCAGTATTTGAACCATTGGAAGTGAGTATTCTGACAGTGCAGTACAAGTATTGAGTTGAACATGCATTTATAATGTCATTTTAAGTTGATATTGTATAGAGACACAATGATAACATCTAACGATATCAGTTCTTTCAGCTTTATTGGTAGAGAATTAGATTCCCTAACTCAGAGGCTTGCAAGTTTAAATCCAATTTTTTTTTTGGAGGGGGGGTTAACGAAGAGGTTCCATGTGGTGGCATTTTGTGAGTGCTTACTGCAATTTTCAGTTACCTGTACATGTTATCAAAGAGCCCTTCACGTGCTGCCACATGGAACATAGAACTTTTGTGCTGCCGCCATAGGTAGAGGTTCAGCAATTCGCAGCCAGATTGCTGGAGGCTATGCACAAGCACTATCCCAGGGCACGGTCCCCGCTCCTCACTATTTCTACTTTTGCAGGATGGTCATAGAAAGGATAATAATGACACCCTGTGTCTGTGACCCATTCTATTCCATGCTCCATAGAAGCAAAGCTTAAAATGGGAAAGAAATAAATAGATAGATATCTAAAAAGGGATATGAGGAATTTGAAGGAGGTATGAGGAATACAGGAAACATAGGAAAACAAGAATAGAGGGAGACAATTCAGCCCCTCGAGTCTTTTCCAGATTACAGGGTAAATGGGACCAAATGGATTGCTCTTTTAGAGTAGCAGCAGTGACACCATGTGCCAAAAGGCCTTCTTCTATGCTGTAAATTTCTGTGGTTCTAAATCCACTAAAATACATCAGTGCCCTGAGATGTCTTTCCGATGCGAAGGGCGCTACACAAGTGTAATTTGTTGTTGTTGTAAAAAAAGAAATTAGATTTACTATGAAAGGGATTAAAATGTAAGAGACTGGAATATAATTCACTGAAATTTCATCTTTGACATGTTAATATACTTTTTTAGCAGAATTTATAATGTATGTATTGAATGAGTAATTGCCTAAATATGCAGAGCCATATTAATTCGAATTATGAACTTTGGTCTATATTTTGTGAAAGTTGTTTTTCTATTGTTTTCTAAATTTTCAATGACTTCTAAAGACTGTGGTGATATTAAAATATACATTTCATATATTACAAAAAATGTTTTTTACTTACTTGCAATATTCAAATCATACATACTTTAACTGTTAACATGCATAAGATATTCAAAGTTATTTTCAGATTTAGTGAACAATTTGTAAACATCAAAATTAAAACCCTCCAGTTTCCAAAGTTCTTACAATCAGAACTAAGCTGGTTAGAAATGAGATCATAAAACATTTCTTCACACGAAGGTTTACGAGATGTGGAATGCATTGCTCCAGAAGCCCATTGTTTCAGAGTTGATTGGAATTTTTAAAAGGCAGAGCGACAGGTAAATACTTGAGAGTTAGGTATTCGGGGATATGGAGAAAAGATGGAAATCCCATTAAAAGATCTACCATCATTTAATAGAACAGGCTTGATATCCAGAATCGCATGGTCTTGTTCCTGTTTGACTACAATGTTTTCCCCAAATGTTGCCAATTCCCACTTCCTCTCAAATAAACCTGGTTATTCATTTAATTGCTGTTTGCAGGACATTACCATGTGCACATTCGCTGTTGAGTTCGCCTACAAATACACGCTTACTACACTTCACAGTAACACCCTGGGAAGAGCCATTAAGATGTCTTGGTGATGTGATAAGGCACTATACCAAATGCAAAGATTTATTTATTTATTATCTCTCATGCATTCAGTTATCCTGTACACATCCTCTGCATTTTTGGTTTTGGTTTTCCACATGAAGTAACATCCAAAGAAATCATGCAGTTTGATGCCTAAATAACCGAGGGTGGTAGTAATTCATCTCTGTCATGCTAAATCCAGCTCCTTTCCCCTGGTTGAACTGAGCATGACAAATCCTTGGAGTCCGTAAACTGCTTGTACAATTTTCCTGTTGTGAATTGAATTATTGCACAACAAATCTGCAGTAATTACAGCACAAAACTCCTGTAATTTCCTCCTATTAATGTCACAGCATGCCTTTAAGCACCAGGTTTACTTCACAAATCCACAATAGAATGATGAAGCTCTTTCCCAAACTCTAGTATTAATCCCCCACCCACTCCTCACCACCATCTTCTCTCAGTTACTGATGAAGATGCTTTTAAAACAAATACATTGAAGTAAATTGCCGACTAATATAACAAACACTTGTACAACTGCCTTATTTGGGGTATCTTCCAGACTCATCACAAAAAAGCTTCCTCTCTCCCCCAACTCTCCCATTTGTTTCCTCCTTTGGTCACACATTATCAGAGAAAGCAGGTCTACCTAGCCTTGAGTACATTTCCTGGTAACCCGTTTCAACTGTTAATTATCCTCTGGGTAAAGAAATACTTCCTGGTCTCTATCCTAAAACTGTCCTCTGCTATCCTGAACCTGTGTTCTTGTTCTGTTGCCCTAGTATTTCTGAAAGTATTGTTCTGAATTTACATTTTCAATCCCATTTAAAATCTTATATTCCTTCATATTGTTCCCTCTTGAGATGTCTCTTTTCCAGCCAGAAGAACCCTAACTTATCTAATCATTGCTCTTGGTTGATTCCTTGAATACTGAGGATCATCCTCATTGTTTTACTCTGTACCACCTCTAGAGTCTAGACAGCCCTCTCATGGTGACCAGAACTGTATGCAATATTCTAGGTGCAACCTAATCACAGCACTGTAAAACTTGAGCATGTCTTCAGAGATCTGAACTTGAGACCCATTCACCAAACAGAAGTGCAATTCCTCATAGCTGAAGCACATCAAGCAGATTATCCAGTGTTGTGGTGAGCAAAGCCCAGCTGATGTTTTCTTCTCAGGCGGTTCCCTTGGAAGAGAGAGTTAGTTTGTGCCAACCATGTGAATGCTTGGTGACTTTCAGTGATATTCCTGTGACCTAACCTCATTGTGTGAGTTTGCAAAACATCAAAGGCAATAAATGAAAAAAAGAATGGAGGAGAAGTACACATCGTTAGGTTCAACCGAATGACACAACTGAATTACCCCCGAGCACCTAGATTAACAATCCTGTGGATTAATCTGACATGATTGCACGTCTGATCATTGGACTTTGCTGGGTGTATATGATCGCAAAATGTTATTAATTTGAAAGGGATTAGCTGTAAAATGCTTTGAGATATTTCAACATGATAAGGTGCTATAAAAATAGACATTATTTCGAACGTTCAGCACTCTTGAATTGACACACATGCCAATTAGATAAGGGGAAAGTAAGGTAAAAATGGTTAAACGTTGACCTTTGTCCTACTTTGTATGGCAAAATAAGATTAGTGATCCACCTATGTTTCTAAGTAGAAATGTTCCTATACACATGTAAAAGGTATCAGATAATTTAGTCTCATTAATCCTACTATTTAATTTTATAGCCACATTGAGGGACAGAGTTGAATGTTTCAAATGTAGCTCATCAACAACATTTTGGAGAAGAATATTGCACAGTAAAAAGGATCTCCTTATATGGGCCCTCTGCAGGGAATGTGATCTTGGGACTCATTTATCTGCATCATGCAAAAAGAAACCTTAATGCAGGATAGTAGAGGTTTCTTAGGCTAAAAGAACACAATGATGACTTCTCACCAAGGATTAGTCTAAATAAATCCATGATTTGGTTTGCTACATATTCCAATAATACATTAACATATTTTAACTTGGTAGTTTAGCACTGAGCTAGACACGTCGCACTTATGCAATCCTTAATGATAAGAGATGGAAAGGACATCACTGGAATAACAGCTTATAATTTTGTTATTTATTATAGTAATTTATTATAATTTATTATTATTATAATAATATAATTTATTGTTAGTCAGAATAATTGAAGACTATAGGAACAATATAATTGGAAAACAGTGTTGAATATTGAGGAAAATCTTTTTAAACCAAAGATATTATTGGGAAAATGGAGAACAAACTCAAGGGATTCTATAAATGTCTATCAAAATGAAAGGGTATTCTGAATTGGAAGCATTGCAAATCTTGTGCAACTGAAGAATTTATTGTGGTCATCCAGATGTCTGGGACATACGTGGAAATCCATCACCCTGCTTAGGAGTATCTAAACCAATTTGAGGATTCCATAAAAGGCAAAGTACTGCAGATCCTGGAAATTTGATATAAACACAGAAGTCGCTGGGAACACACAGCAGATCAGGCAGATTCCATGGAGAGAGGAAAATGAGTTAATGTTTTTTCTGACAAAAGGTCATCGATCTGAAACGTTAACTCATTTCTTTGCCGGACAGCGATATCAATGGCAAGCTATGTGGTTTTAGTTGGTTAGACTCCAGTAGTACCCCAATGCACACTCTGGGGTCCCCAAGCCTTGGCTCTTCCCAACCTGTGTCTAATACTTTCCGGAATTATGTAAACAAGATGTGTCCCTCCAGGGAGAGAGTGTGCATTCCATTCCAACAATCCATCTCCGGGATTTCTACGTGTATTTAATAATAACAATCTTTGCATTTGATATAGCACCTTATCAAGTCTTCAAGACATCTCAATGTGTTTCACAGAATATATTGTATATTGACTGTATATTCTGTGGGCAAAACGCGGCAGCCAATTGTGCACAGCAGTGGCCCACAAACAGTCGTGGATTGAGTGACCAAATTATTATTATTTTATTTTTAAAGTTTCAGCGCCTTGGGACGTCCTCCCGACGTGAAAGGCGCTCAATAAATGGAATCTTGTTGTTGTTGTTGTTGTAAAGTTTATTTTGAAGGGATTATTACCCCTGGAAAAGCAATCCGCCAATCAACTAACAACCAGGTTCCTATTTCCTGCTAGATAAACAGAGGCGTGTGGAGTAAGGAAACTTGCCCAACATTTCGTGCTGTGGGAATCAAATCCAGGTCCTCTCGCTTGCGAGGCAAGTGCTCTAACCACTACTCCACAGGACTTCACATAGGTGTAGGTGGGATGCATGGAAATATAAGCTTGGTTTGGATACTCTTAAGCATAGTGACGGGTTTCCGCACGTGTCAGATACCCGGCTGATCCCCGCGCACAAAAATATATAGTGCCCTTCATGCAGACTAGCATCAACCAAAGTGTAATAAAATTACAATAATTTTTTTGGCTCGAGTGTAACATTCCAAAAGATCTGAAGAACAAAAGAAGCAATTCTCCTCCATATAAACATGTTTAATTTAAATGGTCTTTGTTCTGTTCATCCGTGCAAAATGCTCTAATGTAGCGTCTGCTGGTTTGTAATTACAATAACCTTTTTTTTAATAATTGGATGACTGCCAATAACAAATTACTCTAATTTTACAGATTTATTTTAAATGCATTCAAGGATTTTCAAAAGCATATACTAATCAGGGAAAAGAGAAATCTGTTCATCTTTAATCAGGAAATATTTAGTAGATATCAGGAATGGATTCATTATTGAATGGATTCATAATTACTGTAATCGCTTATTAAATGTCAGCATTTGTGACCAACTTCATCTTGGAGTTTATTGAGATCAGAGTTAAACTCATTAAACCAGGAAAAGAAAATTTCAATCCAATGTAGCGCCGAAGAAAGCAGGAAGCAAAGCAATAGTTCATTTGAACATTTATCCTAAAATATAGCCCGGACTGTTTACTAGCCTCCTAGCTACACATGTTTAACATTTCCATGACTGTATTTTCCTTAGATCTATTACCTTTCTGTCCGTAACTGTAAATTACATCCATTCAACACAATCTGAAAGGAATAGTATGAAAACACCATGTTCACAATTAAAACTCTGAAACAGAGATTCCATTCAAAGTCCCATATTTTGGTTTCAACACAAAAATTTCCTGTGAAATTTAAAAGCCAGCTTTTCCAAAGTTCTCAAAAGAATTTTCCAAAAATCTTCACAACATTAAATTATTGGGCAATTGTCTTAAGGTTAAGACTATGAGGACATAAGGGCATCAGGACTCCAATTCTGAACTTATTCTGAGCCTAGAAGAAAATGTTGTACATAAATAATCATCTGGGCCAAGAAGTCTGAAAGGATTTGTGAAGATCAAATATATAATTATTTGCTTAGTACATTAGTGACATCTGGTGGCAGACTAACCATATTGCACCAATGTTTACAATACACATGGGTGTAGGACACACCATATGTGTCATGCTAACCTATCCAGGATCAGAGTAGCAAAGGGCAATATGAGACCAGACACCAGAAAGCATTTCTGTATCCAGAGGGTAATTAACAATTGGAACAAGTTATCTGTAAGGTTGATGGAGGAGCCTGGATTTGTTTAATTTGTTTAACAGCTTGATGCTGTAATAGGATGGCAAGGTGGGTATTGTGGAAGGATGAGATCAGATAGGCCAAAGGCTTTTCTTCATCTGACCCGCTCCTGTGATCGTGTGAGACCACAGCTCTGATCCATGGCAGTCTCAGAATGCTAATGCCAGAAATATGACTTTCAAGAATTAAATTCAATGTCCTCCTGACATAAAATGTAATTTTGTATTGTATTCTCTGCTGTAAAATTGAGTTGAAATACCTCTCAAATGTAGCTCTCAGCTTTTCACCCTGAAATAACATTATTAAAGCTCAATTGATAAAATCAATCACTGTGAATATTGGTTGATGTGAGAGCATGTTTTTAAAACTAACAGGATTAAAGCCTGGCCACATTGGGAGTTATTCTGTTCTGTAAACTTAATGGTGTGAGAGACAGATTATTCTCTTGTGTTCCTTAAATGTTAGGAATGTGTCTCTACATTGGCATAAACTACAAAACCTGAATTTTTAAATTCTGAAATTTGATGTTACACCTGTCCCATTATGCTGTTTTTACTTTTAATACTGTATTGCACTTATAACATGAACAAATGTACCAAACAGAGGAGAATAATGCTTTGCACAACCAAGTAATTGGATCACACAGAACAGAATAGTTCCACTCTGGCTTCTGTACCCACAACTATTTTCAGAATGAGAATCAATCATAAAATACTCCAAACTGTTTATATTTTGTGAACAATCCATATTCACATTTTAATTTGGAACTAAACAATAATCATGGTTTGAGGCAAATATGATTAAAATGTTGAAGATTTACACATTAGAGATTACCTTTTTAAAGACCCTTGGTATCCTTTTATTTACTTTTTTACTGTCACACAATGATAGTTTCATTGCATCAAAACTAAAAATTTCACATGACTGAGACATTGCTTCAATGGCATTCAAATATATTAAATATTTTCCCCTTGTGCTCATAACTTTTAATGGTTAGGTCCATTGACACATGTGTACTATCACTGATGAGTAGAACATTCATGAATAGAAAACCCCAAAGAATGTCTTATTCAATTGTATTTTTTTAAAAATTATTGGTGGATCAGTCTATATATGATAATGTTACTCAACAATTCCTGTCTCACTCAGTTCCACATCTTCTGCTGCAGTGGAAGATAATGATGCTTCTTCTAGATTGGAGGCATCAGATTCAGTCATTCCATTAGATGAATTCATGACTGGATACTGTTCATTTACATTTGTAGAGGGGATGATTGCTGAAACCAGAGAGAAACCAAACAGTTTGTTTAAAATAGGTTAAGTTTAATAGATAAGATTTACACATTAAAAAAGAGAGGTTTTGAAAATAGCAGACAAGTTACAGAAAACAAGAGTGGGAAGAATTCTGCTCCTGTGTCCTGCAGACCCGCCTGGCTCAGCAACTACTGAGACCATCACAGAGGGTCAACTCAATTCTGACATTCTGTGTCCAAGAAAGTTACTGTGAAGCCAGCAGTCGTAAACCCTACTTACCTCCCCACCCCACCCTCCCCACCCACCGCCGAGAAAAGACCCTAGTTGGTCATTTGACATCTGACAAGTGCAAGTTTGAGCCCTCACTAGGTGAATAGCAGTTACCAGCAACTCCCTGCAAGCTTATTGGCGACCAGTACAATTCAGCACAAAATATTTGAGAGCATTGCCACCATCCAGTAGCCTATAGCTCGGACAAACATCCCTCACCACTGAGCGATAGTTCCACCAGTTTGAGGTGTGGAGCTTCAGCAGCAGCTGCTCAACTCTCTGCATATAAGTCAGGCTGGAGAGCAAGCTCAGGATATATGAACTTATGCTCATCAACCGAGACTTCAGTAGCACCATCCAGCACCTGTTGTGCCAAGCTTCAGAGTTTCCTCAACATCTGCAGTGGGAAAGGAAACATGATAACTGAGTGGGAAAACTTTGGGGTGAAACATAGAGATACAGCACAAAAAGAGGCCGTTGAGTCCATCAAATCTATGCTTGTGCTAGTTCCAACACTGCAGTGATTTGCTCTGTACCTAGTTCCCTGTTTTTTCTCCATAACTCTGAATAAATTAAGGGTATTTTTCTCACAGAATTTCTTAATAAGGAGCTCCACTCAAAAAAGTAATCCCACCAGAGTTCTGACTAATCAAAGTGAAGCATTCCTGTTTTTCTTATTAAAAAATCAGGTAAAAGAATGAACAATTATTAAAATCACGTATCCATTGATTGAGGAAATAAATATACCAGGAATCTCACTGTCACTCTATCCATTGTAGTAGTCACAGCCACTTGCTTTTTTTTGGGGTTAGCCGGGTGTCTGACACATGCAAAAGCTCATCACCATGCTGAGAAAAGCCAAACCAAACTTAAGGCCTTCAAGGCCCTGTCCTTGAGTGGTTTAGGTTGTACCTCTCCCACCGTCTTCACTTTGTTTCCACGAACGGCTTTTCCTCCAGTCCCCGCACTGTCTCGTGCGGTGTCCCTCAGGGCTCTGTCCTTCGTCCACTCCTCTTCACCCTCTATATGCTCCCCCTTTGGTGACATCATCCGCAGACATGGAGTTAACTTCCACATGTATGCGGATGACACACAACTCTACCTTTCCTCCTCTACCCTCAACTCCACGACCACCGATGTCCTGACAGCTGCCTGTCCGACATCGAGTCCTGGACGAGAGACAACTTTCTTCAGCTCAACGTGCGTAAAACTGAGGCCCTCCTGATTGGCTCACGTCAGCGCCTCCGCACCTCAGGGCTGACAGCATCAGCATCCAAGGCTGCACTCTCCACCTCTCAAAGCCAGTCAGGCACCTCGGCGTTTTGTTCGACCCTGAGCTGTCCTTTCTCCCTCACATCCGCACCACAACTGGCACCGCCTTCCATCACCTCCAGAATATCGCCAGACTACAGCATTACCTCACCCCTCACGCTGCTCAAACTCTGGTCCACGCCTTTATCACCTCAAGGCTGGACTATGGGAACTCTCTCCTCGCCGGCCTTCCCGGCACCTCCCTCCACAAGCTGCAGGTCATTCAGAACTCTGCAGCTCGTGTACTGTCCCGCACCAGGCTTCGCGGCCACATCACTCCCACCCTCGCTCGCCTCCACTGGCTCCCCATCCCCCAGAGGATCGAATTCAAGATCCTCATCCTCACCTACAAGGCCATTCACGGCCTTGCTCCCTCCTACCTCTCCGACCTACTATCCCCCTACCTACCTGCCCGTACCCTCCGTTCCTCTGGCTCCGGTCTGCTCCACATCCCCCGTCCCAATCGCCCTACCATCGGTGGTCGGGCCTTCAGCCTCTCAGCCCCGAGGCTCTGGAACTCTATCCCCCAGTGCCTTCGCCGCCTCCTCCCTTTCCTCCTTCAAGGCCGGTCTCAAGACCTTTCTCTTTGAACGTGCCTTCAGCTCCCCTCTCGACCCTCTACCCCCTCCTCGCTCCCTCCCTTCCCTCCCCTCACCCTGACCATTTCCCCCCTCCTCGCTCCCTCCCTTCTACCCTCACCCTGACCATTTCCCCCTGCTCGGGTCCTGACCCAACTGTACAGCGCCTTGGGACGTCCTCCCGACGTGAAAAGCGCTCTATAAATGGAATCTTGTTGTTGTTGTTGTTGTTAAAGAGTTCCATGTATCCCACCTACATATGGAAATTCCAGAGATATTTATTGGAAAGGAATGTGCACTCCCTCGCTTGAGGGATACACCCTGTTTACCTAATTCTAAAGAGTATTAGGTGCAGGTTGGCAAGAGCCAAGGCTTGGAGACACCAGAGTGTGCATTGGGGTACTGATGGAATCTAACCAACTAAAATCATATAGCTTGCCAATGAAAGCACTGCCTGGCAAGTTTCCCGTTGCTTGCCTGCCAAGGACCACCCATTAGGGCTTTGGCTCACAGGGTTAATAGGAGCTGAGTGGGAAGATTCCCTGTCCCCAGTGTTTTGCTCTGTGAGCTCTGTACAGACCGATTCAACAAATTAATTTTCAGTATTGTCTTCAAACTATTTGGCTGTCACGCATTTCATACGTTTTAATAGTTAACAGTTCAGAACACACTCAAGAATGAATGTAATAATTACCTGTAGAAACCCAGAAGTGTTTTACTGCGAACAGTAGCAGGGTTGATAAGACCACTGAGCCTGTAGTGAAAAACTGGGGGAAAAAAACACCACTTAAGGACTCGAGGATTGAGAAACAGTTCAGTAAGTTACAAAATCTATTTTGATGCACTGAAATACATCCACTATAGATATGAACATGCAGAAATACGTTTTATGATCATTTGGAAACTAAAAAGTTGGGCTGGCTACATGCGACTTTACTTAAAACAAAACTCAGCTGACTAAACTAGACTCAAACACAGTGACTAATTCCAAACCTCAGAGCTCATCAGTAACAAAGCTACGTTCATCACTTTGTTGGATGCAAGGTTACAAGTGTGCAACATTTCATATTATATAGTAGAGATCAAGGATATTAAAGGGCATAGCACAGGGACAGTGAGAAAGTCTTTGGCAACAGAAGCCTGACACGATGAGATGAATTGTGACAATCTGGATTATCATACACAAAATGATACTCTTTCTCTCCCTCGCCAATGTTTGGCAAAAATGTTACAAAAATGGTACTCTTCAAAATGATTTGTGAAACTGTGGGGCATGATTGGAATATATTTTCAGTGTTGAACTGTACTAATGATGGCAGTATCGATCACTGACTCTTATACAGTGGTTTACATACCAAAGCAGCACAAGAAAAACCCGTCCATATTGATTTCAGATGAAGACGAAGCAGAGCTAAAGAGCACGGGACAAGGGCTTCTTCAATGTTAACATTTATGCACCTAGGATTATGGAGAGAAAACTGGTTATTACATATATTAACCACTTCACGCTGGAATGCAAAAATTGTTGTGCTGTTCACATCTTTCAAATTCAGTACAAAATTGGCTGCCTTTCAGTTACTGGTCACAGAGGAATTTGCAAACAATCCCTGCAATGTAGCTCTCCCAAGGCTTAGCCAGTTTATTCATTGACTTATTGATCCATGTAGGCTGGCAAGGTCTGATGTGTGTGGATGTCAAGTGAGGATAGCATTGAGCTCACCTTGTGGGTGAATAGCCTGCCACACTCGTGATCAAGACTCACCACAAGGATAATGGCCAATTGATCAAAGTACTGGAGGCTTCCCAGTGTAATAATACTCAGAAGGTTAAAAGATTCAAACTCCTGTGGAGAAGCTGATATGCTTCCTCAGAAAGACCCTTTGCCTCTGCAAACGTCCCCTCCCCCAATATAGTTAGACATGGTACTCAAGGTAGCAACCTTGAGGGTTATGGTCAATCAAAGACACTATCCATCTGTTGAGATGTTAAACTGAGATCTTGTCTGTCTGTTCAAGAAGACGTTAAAGATCTCTTACGAACATTTGAACACTCACTTAAGATTCAAACTCAAGAGGTTTCTAGTCTTCGAGCTGAGTTACCTGGGTTACCCTTACTGTCACTTGCATGTGTTGGGTGTAAAACTAGAAGGTAATGCACATAAAAATAATGTCAGCTAGTAATCCTGACAAAATACACAGTCACTACACATTACAGTAAATACTTTGAAATATCCTACTGATGTAAAAGATGCTGTATCAAAGGCAAGGATTATTTATTATTTAAACGTTTTCTAAACCCAAAATCTCACTTGTTTGACAAAGCCCAGACAGTCATTTCTTTCACTTGTTTGATAATGTACTAATGTAGGGAGCTTCCCCAAGTGTCCCAGGCAGGCTTTATTGTGTCCGAATTGGCTACTGTATTTGCCCACAAAGCACACCATTACTGCACTTCACAGTATGTCCTGTGAAACACTTTAAAACCTCTTTCTGACATGAATGTGCTATACCAAATGTAAGGACTATTATAACGTGATATAATTGTGAATTGGTATGAGCTGACTAAGATGCTCAAGTGAGACCACCATGTATGTGCAAGTAATATTACTATATTTTAAAAATGATTCTATAACTATTTTATCGATAGGGTCTAATTTATTGTATTTCCCAATTGTTTCAAATGATCAGGAATTTAAATGAAACCTCCAAAACTGAAGAAACGTCACTCTAATCCCTGAGAATCAGCATTCCTGCACCATCTTTTTCTGGAACAGAATTCCTTCGGGTTGATGGAAATTCCAAGAGGGTTCTTAAGAACGACCACAAATTGGACCATAACTAAAATTAGAATGACGGCACCTACCTCTCATACAGCTGCAACAGGACTGAAACGCTATTTGACTGATTTTCTATGTCAAAATCAAGTAGCTCTAAAATTTCCGGAGGTAATTGGATACCCTCCTCTACGAGTGTTCCCAAGTTAAAATATGCCTGGTGAAAGACAAATGGGAGAAGTTATTTGTAAAACTCAATGACACATACGAGGTTGCAAATTATTTCTAAGTCAGAATGTATGTGATACTCACTTGCGAGTAATTCTGTAAAGCGGCACGGCTGTACATCTTAACTGATTGAGTCATATCCTTCGTCTGTTGTTTGTGACCATAATAGTAATAATCGCCCATTTTTACCAAGGCTGAAACATACGGATAATCAACAAATGGTTTAGTGTGCAGTAAATCATGACCTGCTGGAATTAAGGATTTCACGTCGGTCTTGAATAATGCACGTACCATAGGGGTATGGATTCTCCTGGAAGGCGGATAAATTATAATACTTCCATGCGCAATCAACAGCGATATGGCTGCTTGTGAGTTCCTGTTTGAAAAAAAATAGATTTGATTTTAATGTGGAATAAAAAGCACCTGGAATATTCAACATGACCTGTTCAAATACTAGTGCTGAGTGCTGCTACTTACTGGGTTTTCTTCGCAGAAGTACGCAATGTTAGTTTGCGATGATTCAATTCCAGTCTCTGCAGTCATGAGGAAATACAACAATGCTTCATTCCTGAGGTAGACACAAGTACAGTTTTTGAAAAATATTGTCCAACAATAAACTTCAGCATAATTGTATTTGTACTAAATGGTACTAACATTTGAATATATTTAGTGAACATTATTTAACAGCTGGAAGGACAAATACACATGTATGTAAAACTCAGAGTCAGAAAAAATAGTAGATCAAGAGAAAGTGTGGGAAGGGTATGGAACGATGGATATTCTGGAAGGGTAAGGTCAAATGAGCTGAATAGTTTTCCTCATCTGAAACTTTCTTGTCAGAGAGAAAGATAGCGAGATGGCACAAGAGACAGAGAGAAAGAGGGGGTGGGGGTAGAGGGAATCACAGACTCAGAAAGTGTGAAGGGAAAGACAGACAAGCAAATAACAACAAAATTACATTTGAAAAGGGCCTTTCACATCGGGAGGACATCCCAAGGTGCTGAACAATCAGTGTTTCGGACCCGAGCTGGGGGTCAGGATCAGGGAGGGTGGGGGCAAAGGGGGGAAGGAGAGTGACCAAAAGCATGGTCGAAGAAGAAGGTCATGAGATGGGTCTTGAAGGAGGCAAGGGAGGGGCGAAGCAGAGGGACTGCGGGTTGGAGTTCCAGAGGGTAGGGGCAGAATGGCTGAAGGCTTGCCCACTAATGGTGGGGCGGGCGAGGTGGGGAACATAAAGCAGGCCGGGGCCCACTGTGCGGAGGGTGCAGGCAGGTTGGTAGGGGGTTAGGAGGTCGCAGAGGTAGAGGGGAGCAAGGCCATGGAGGGCTTTGTAAGTGAGGACTAAGATCTTGAACTGTATCCTCTGTGTGATGGGAAGCCAGTGGAGTCACGTGAGGATGGGGGTGATAGGGTCACGGAGTTTGGTGCGGGAGAGGACATGGGCTGCAGAGTTCTGGATGATCTATAGCCTGTGTAGGGAGGAGTTGGGGAGGCCGACAAGCAGCGAGTTTGCATAATGCATGTATGAGGGTCTCGGCAGCCTGCAACGTGAGACAGTGGCGGAGCCGTGCAATGTTGCGGAGGTGGGGAAGGGTGGAGTGGGTCATAGCACAGATGTGAGATATAAAGGACAGTTGAGGGTCAAACAGGACGCCGAGGTTCCATATTGGCTCTGTGAGGTGTAGAGTGCATCCATGGAGGGAGATGCTGTCAGGGCCCAAGGTGTGGAGGCGCTGACAGGAGTCAAGCAGGAGGGCCTCAGTCTTGTTGACATTCAACTGCAGGAAGTTAGCTCTCCTGCAGGACTTGATGTCCGACAGGCAGTCTGTGAGGACAGCAGTAGTCCTGGAATCAAGGGTGGAGGCAGAGAGGTAGAGTTGGGTAAACAGAGATAAACAGACAGAAAATGAGAATAGGAAACAAAGTAGTCATTTTGCAAAACCAGGTAAATCCACAGTAATCCAAGGGAATATAATCCTTTCATTTGATACAGCACCTTTCAACAACAACCAAATTACATTTGTATAGCGCCTTTCACATTGGGAGGAAGTTCCACGGCACTGGACAGTCAGAGTTTCGGACCCAAGCTGGGGGAAAACAGGGTGATCGAAAGCACGGTCAAAGAGGAGGGTCTTGAGATGGGTCTTGAAGGAAGTTGGAGGATAACTCAAAGTACTTCACAGGAATTTACAGTGAAGTGTTGTGACTATAATCTACCATCAATCAATAACTTTTTGATTATTGACCAGACTGACTGGCTCATCAATGAATCTTGGAAGGTGTAAATGTGTCCTCAAATGCTCAACTCAAAAGTCCTATTGGGTCGGGCAGTTCCAGTCGGACAAATACCATTGTTTACCAGTACTTCATATCAGTAAACTGTGTGGTTACCATTTACTTTATTTTTTAAAAAAAAATCAGAGTCTTGGGACAAAAGAATCATAGACTTTAACCTTACCAGGATTTTTGAATGTAGGCATTAATAGCTTTTCTCATGGCATAACCCAAAAAACCATTTTGTTCAGCAACATATTTGGCCCAACTGTATATGAAAGACAAAAATATCTGTTAATATCAGTATATAAATTAAAACATATATATATATAATATACACACACATATAATCTGTTATCAATTTAGCAGTTTGTAACTAAAACTACATGTTCTGCATAAAATCAGAATTGTTATATCTTACAGAACCGCTTGTCTGGGGTTGTATGGAATGGATTGCAAACTTCCTGTACTCCAGTAAGATGAGCAATGAATTGCACTTTCAATGTGTCCATAAAATCCAGCTTCATAGTAATAATGAAATGCTTCAATCTAGAAATAAAAGGGCATAAAACAAAACAATATATCTCAAGGAACAAGATTCATGTGCAGTAACAATCCAGGTCATAAGATTACAAATCCTAACTGCAAAGCAGGAGCAATTTAGTGAAAGGCAAGAAATTGTGTTATAGCTGGTAACGCAACCTAGTTCATTTGTCGAATATATGCAGATAACTTTTTGATTCATGATTTGCGGTTAAGGAGGTTTAGATTTGTAGAGTTCAGTTATAGATCTTGTGCTGTACGGATGTTTAATAAATGCTGGGAGCTCAGCTGCGATATAGTAAGATTTGCCAAGCTTTGTGGCCAAGTGATGTGACTAAGGGATTTAAAGCATTCAGGGAGATCTTCATTAATCAGGCAATGTGAGTTAGGGAATAGCAGATAGATTTTTATATGAATAAATCCAGTTTTTATACAGACAAAAACATTAATCGCTATGTGATCTTGTTTCTAAAGCAAATTAACAATTGTAGCTGTGAGAGTAATTGAGTTGATGGGGTACAGTAAGGGTCAATGGGCTAAATGGCCAACTGATTTACCCTATTGTACGCTTATCACAACAAATTGAGGTTTTCAAAATAATAAAGGGATTTGATAGGGTAGATTTCCTCTGGTGGGTGAATCCAAAACCATTCATAATCTTAAAATTAGAGCCAGACCATTTAGGAGTGAAATTAGGAGGCAGGTTTTCACCCAGAGGGTAGCGGAAATCTGGAACTCTCTCCTCCAAAAGGTTGTGGATGCTGGATCCATTCACATTTTCAAGACTGGGGTGGATAGATATTTGTTAGGTACACGTATCAAGAGATACGGGGTTATGGCAGGTAATTGAACTTGAGGTACAGATCAGCCTTGATCTTATAGAATGGCGGAACAGGCTTAAGGGGCTGAATGGCCTACTCCTGTGTCTATGTTTCTATGTTTTAGTAGTTCTATGTAGTAGTTTTTTTTTAAACAAATTCAGTATCCTGGCCTCAACGAACCTTCCTGGTAACCTGCCCCAGTTATTATTTACTTGGAAGCTTGTTAGCACAATGATAAAACTTCCCTCCCTTCTTGAATAGTCATAAGAGATCTTTAATGTCTTCCTGAATAGGTAAACAAGACCTTGGTTCAATGAAGGATAGCATCTCTGACCTTGCAACTCTCCTCCAGAATTGTACTGGAGTGTTGGCTTAGACCATGAGCCGATGTGGGGCTTGACATACACTTTCTTTTCGTAATGGCAGGCAAGACACTAGCCTTCAAATATCTTAAAGAGATTTACCTCATTTTTTTCAGGCATTCCTGGGTACAATCCAGCTCCATACACTACGCCAAGATTGTGCAAAGCATCCAGATTTCCCATTTTCATTGCTTCTTCCCAATACGATACAGCTCTCACATAATCCTTCTCAAACGTTTCATAGTACCATCCCAAACCATTAATTGCTTCATGTGATCCCTGTTTCAATAACAAATTAAATGAACACTTGTTCCTCTGAGAACAATATTCTCAGATTACGACACTCGCCCAATGGGATTTGAACATAGACCTTCCCCCTTCAGATAATTAGACCAAAATTGCAGTATAAACTTCGTGGAGAATAAAAACACCAGCATGGATTGGTTAGACCAAGCGGTCTGTGAGCGTGCCGTAATTCTTTGTAAATTGCAGTACATGATGTGATACTTCACTTCAAAACTCTGGAACTCTCTGCCTCAAACCCTCTACCTTGTTCCCTCCTTTGCCTGTCTTTACATCTGAAGATGTTCCTCTTTGACCTTGCCTACGACCTCTCTCTCCAGCTGGGCATCAAGCTCTGTCAGTGTTAAGTGTTCTGAGACATTACCTCGCGTGAAGGGTGCTATAAAAATGCAAGTTGTTGTGGTGTGTCAGAGCTGGTTTTGGGAGGCTACATTGTTGGGAACAGTGTTTTGAACTTGTTCACTGACTGCAAAAGGAAACAAATATCCAATCCCAAATATCTCACGGTTCTGCTTTCGAAACCTAAGATTCACAGACTTAAATAGAAAAGCTACTGACATACAATATTGCATAAATATTCCTACCTTGGATGCTGCTTTTTTCAGTAGTTTTAAGGCTAATTTGGTATTTTTTTCCACTCCTCGGCCCTAAAAAAGAGATTTAAAGAACCCGGATTTAATTTGGTTTTATACATTTAATGTCATTCATAGAAATACACAAAAGGGTCATAGTTATAGTATTCCTAAATACATTCCATTCCTTAAATGAGGAATAAGATTAAAATATGCTAAGATTGAAATACTTATCCTCCACCTTCTGAGTGTAGCAGCACCCAAAACGGACCAACTTATTTTTGTGGCTCAGGTATCAGGCAAACTGTGGCAATTTGTTTGCCCAGGTTTGTAATGTGTATCATGTAGTACTTAATAATAATAATCCTTGCATTTGATATAGCGCTTTTCACGTCTTCTAGACGTCTCAAAGCTTTTCACAGAATATACTGTAAAGTGAATTGATTGTATATTTGTGGGTGAAACACGGCAGCCAAATTGTGCACAGCAGTGTCCCACAAACAGTCGTGGATTGACTGGCCAAATTATTATTGTTTTTTGATCTTTGCTTGAGGGACTATTATCAGGCGTTCGGAGTAAGGAAAGTTGCCCAAATTTCGCCCTGCTAGTAATTTAACCCAGGTCTCTCACTTGTGAGGCAAGTGCTCTAACCACTGAGCTACACGACTCCTAATAAGAAACAATCTTGGATTCCCGTTGACCAAGGAGGCTGATTTGAACCCTGCGAACAAACTTTCAGATGGCATTTTACAGGGTATTGATTGCAGGTGGATTCCTGCAGCTCAGTGGTTCGAGCACTCAGTTTGCAAGGCAAGAGACCTGAGTTCAATTCCCGGCAGGGCGAAACCTTGAGCAAGTTTCCTTACTCCACACAGAGCCTAATAATAATCCCTCCAAAACCCAAAACAATAATAAATTGGTCATTTTCAATCCATGACTGTTTGTGGGACATTGCTGTGCTCAATTGGCTGCCGCGTTCGCCCACAAATATACAGTCAATTCACTTTACAGTGTGTTCTGTGAAGTGCTTTGGGACGTCCTCCCGACGTGAAAAGCGCTATATCAAATGCAAGGATTATTATTATTATTATTTAAGTGTTTATGCTATAAGGTGGCAATGAAAGGCTGTAATTTAATAGATTCACAACATCAAACCTGGCCGCAAGGGAACTTCAAGGATAAGCCCATCACTAGTTTTGTAGGTCTCATTTGCCACAGTTGTTTTAAGAACATTGGAAATAGCATTCTTGCACTTCCTAGGTAACTAAATAGATAAGTACACAGTATTCATCTCTGCAAACAGACCAATTCTAGCCTAAGTCGATAAATGTGTGAACAGCCCCTTACTATAACGCTAGCACAAACGATCTTGAACAACTACGGAAAAGACAATCTGATACAACATGCAACACAAACACAGTTATTAACTTACGTAACCACACAAGCAGCTAACCTCCTCACAATGATGGAAGAGGTTAAAATCAAGGAAAGCAATGTTTGCAGGTAGGTGTCGTGTTAAATTATGCTAGTGCTAACAGCCACTAGGTGGCAGTGCAGCCCCCCCATGTGTAGGTGGGATACATGGAATTTGCAGTTTGGTTTGGATACCCTTAAGCATGGTGATGGGTTTCTGCATGTGTCAGACACCAGCCTGGCCCTTCCCAAAAAGTTGAGTGCAGGAAATGTACCAGTTTCCAATAATAAACAGTGCCTCATTCCTAGAGGTCTTATTGTCCAGTAAATAAAATTCAAAAACATATTACATTGACTTTTGTTGTGTTTTCAAGCCGTAACACACACGTTTTGTCTTGTTTGAAAACGAATGAAGATCATTTTGCATGTTTTATTATTACGTTTAGAAACCGGAATAAACCTTAAAGTGTTAGTGCAACAATTTGGATGTGAAAATGCAATGTTATTGTTGCTCTAAATGTTATAAATGCAAAAATGGTACAACAGATAAGTTTATAGAAGTTATTATCTACCCTACTCTGGTACACATTCCAAATATAACAATAATCCTAACATATGATTATGTGCCTTTCAAGTCAGGAGGAGTCTCAAAGCACTTAATAGAATATACTGTAAAGTGTAGCGAATGTGTATTTAATAGGCAAAATATCATTACTGAAACCTTCTTAAAAAAGCAGTTTACATGTTTTAAACTAACAATGATATTCCTTATAATCGTCTTTTCTTCTTTATACATAAAAGAAAAGATCCGTCATACAGTATTTCTGTTCAGTTTAATCTTGTGCTTTTTCTTTATTTTGTATTTATTTTCATTATACTTTCCTCTTGTTCTTTGTGACTTTAAAAGCCAAAAAATCATTGTTACTTGTATTTTATATAAGAAAAAAAACTTTAATATAAAAAGACTGTCATTTAGTGGTGCAACAAGCTTGTGTTCAACTTTAGGATGGGGCTGCCACTCCTATTCCAGATTCCTCCCATACAATCATATGAGAAGGTGCTGATTATAGTCAAAGCACTTTCCTAATGTTCAAAGTAAATCATTACATGACATCATTACATTGTTCCTCCCTTACAATATAACCTTACAACACTTGCGAACTTGTCTCTGGTTGCCCATCAGTAGGACATAACCATGTGATGTGACTGCCTCCAGTGGAACAAATACTTGAAATAGAGGTAAAGAATAAAGCCGAAAAATAAAACAAATTGGATTTAACTTAGAAAGACGGTACCCTACCTTAAATAAAATAAGTGCATACTCATACATTGATAAAGGGTCTCCAGTCTCCAACGCACTTTTAGAATACCATTCTGCCGCTGCTTTAATGTCACGCATAACACCCTGTTGTCCCCAGTAAAGCATTTGAGCAAGTTTTTTCTGCAAAATAAATTATAAGAATTTTGTTAGGCGTCTAGAATTGAAAGTGGCAAACACAAAGCAAAGTGAACTGTTACTGCAAAGCACAATTAGGATCATTAGCTGAATTCCACGGTGCTTTGATGCTGTTTATAATGGGTTGGCATTTGCTGTTAAAAGTAATCTTTATAATAATAATCCTTGCATTTGATATAATGCCTCTCATGTTGGGAAGATGTCTCAAAGCACTTCCCAGGATTTTACTGTATAGTGCAGTTACTGTTTACAGCAAACTCCTGGCTTACCAGACTCCAGGTATCTGGAATTGAAGCCTAGCCAAACCTGGCCGGAAACCCAAAAATGTTTTAAAACTTTTCCTTGTGCCGAAGCGGTTAGACTCCTAACTCTCCCAGCTCATGTCAACACCATGAGCAGGCTCACTGTGCTTGCTGGCTTTCCCTGTGGCTAGGGATATTACTTTAATTCAGATTGTTTGGAGATAGCTGATTCACTACCTTCTGCTCACGGGATTCAAACATTTTCAAAAAATGGCAGTAAGTACCAGTAACGACATTGTAATTACACTTAGCCAGAAAATTCCAGCTCACCGGATTAGATCCCCCCCCCCCCCCCTCTCCCCCCCCCCCCCCCCATCAGTCCGGCTGTTTTTGGATTTAAGTCTATTTCTAGGAGAATGTGGCACGCAATTTGCACGAGCTCTTCCCTGCAAACATCCATGTAGTGAATGAAAAGTTTTAACTGGGAAGCTGGCTGAGGTAGAAGGACAAATTCTATTCTCTTTTCAAATAGTACATGGGATCTTTAAGGTCCAGGCAAACAGGCAGGAGGGGCTCCAGTTTACCGTTTCATCCAAAGCCGGCACCTCCCAAGAATGCAGAGCTCCCACAGCACTGTACTGCACTGTCAACCTCATTGTCCCAATCTGGTGAGCTGACCCCCATACTGAGCAATTCAACATGTGGTACAACAAGCCCACACTGCTCTTTTGACTCCAATAGTGGCTTAATACATGCAGTGGTGAATGATGGGGTTTGACATTTTAAAGTAATGGCAGGAAATAAATGTTGTGATCTCACACAATCCAGATTATTTTAGACAGACAAAGTCCAGCTTCAATCCACGACTGTTTGTGGGACGCTGCTGTGCGCAATTGGCTGCCACGGTTTGCCCACAAAATATACAGTCAATTAAATTTACATTATATTCTGTGAAGCGCTTTGAGACGTCTCGAAGATGTGATAAGGCGCTTTATCAAATGGAAGGATTATTATTATTAAGTACTGCATGATACACATTACATACCTGAGCAAACAAATTGCCATGGTTTGCCTGATACCTGAGCCACAAAAATAAGTCATGGTTTTCTTTTGTTTGGATCTCCAAAACCAAATTATCCATTAGTCTTACAGGTTCTACCAGAGCCTAGGAAACAAAAGAACATTTTCATATTCAATAGAATTAAGTAAATTATTGTAAGGCTTTTAGACAGGCATAAACAAAGAGCATCTTGACACAAGAATTATTATTACTGTATTTCTAGTTACAATATAGATTTTCGTGCTAAATTAATAGCTGTCAATTATATTTTGTTCTGAATATATACTGATCGTGCTACAGAAATGATCAATGTTTATATTTTATTTTGACACATTTTGACAAACCATTTTGACACATGGTTTGCACACCACCAATGCAACATAACACAATTACCCCATCAGTGTTGGCACATCATTGCTGCAGGATCACAGTTTTTAGAAACCCTCGACTCTGAAAAAGGATCTGTTATGCATCATGTATAAATAAATTTATAGGCGCCTTTAAATAGGTAATTAACTTTCAATGAAGGCTTTCAGAATCACCTGTAATCTTTTTCATTGGCTTTAATTTGCATACAGGGAAACCTTGTTGGAGCCCAATGTCTTAGCGGCCACTCTCTAAGCAAAGTGCGAAAAAATGGTTGACATAATCCAGGTTGTCAGGTCATCTCTGATGTAACTTCTTGCGCTTTTCACACATGTTTGCTATACGAAGGAAGGGTTGCCAAGGTTATGCTGCGCATGGCCACTATCCACAGGAAGCGATGCTGTTGGAAGTGATACCAGTGGGGCTTCCTGTGGAGGGTGCAGAAAGTGCACCCAAGTGCAGCAGCCAAGTGTGCCATGCCTCTGGTTAGCACACATCCACAGGAGACTTGTACTATTAGTGACCCAGCGCTTTATCAAAGGGCTCAGTTATGGAGTTAGTGTAACTAACACTGTAATTAAGAGCACTTGTATTTCACACTGTATACATGCATTCACACAAGGTGCATAATGAGTCCTGTCCAGCAAGAATTTCCAGCAGTTCAAAATTAGACAGATGACTTGTAATGCAGCTCATATTAAGCTCATAGTAATCTGTTTGTTCCTACCTGTTCTCCTTCAAGTGCCTGCCGATCCTGAACAGTCATTTTTGCGACGCTTATGTAATAACCGAATGACATATCGTAGTCCAGAAAGTAACCATCTATACCTTGGTAATGCTTGTATCCAAGGTGCATTAAGGCAAGTCTATCATTCCCTTGTGCAGCAACCATACTGTACAACAAGCTCTGTTAAAGAACAAATAAGAATGCATTTTATTAAAGAAAATGAACAATTGGGGAACTGGAATCATAATGTAATGGATGCACCTCCCCACCCAACACAATCTCTGGCTCGGTTGGCGTGCTATGTGGAATAAGGTTAATCAGTTTATCAAGGCACGTTTCTAAGTTGAAGTGTTTTGGGCTAAAATCTTGCTAGTTAGTGACTGGCTTACTGATTGGGGACATGCACCTTCCATTTCTGAGCTAGGTGACAATGTGGAATTCAATAAGAATAAGAAATAATAATCCTTGCATTTGATTTAGCACCTTATCACATTGGTGAGATGTCTCAAAGCGCTTCACAGAATATACTGGAAAATGTAGCGACTGTGCATTTTGTAGGCAAAACTTAGCAGCCAATTGTGCACAGCCATGTCCCACAAACAGTCGTGGATTGAGTGATCAAGTTTTGCAAGTTTTTGAATTTAGACATTTTTAATTTGTGAAACTGAAAGTGCAGAATTCACTGATGATCATATCCCTGAACACTGGCAAAGGTTGTTTTGTGGCCAACATTTTATTTTTTCAAATTAAATGCCATGTTCATTTGCAAAATACAATCACAACATTTTACAGCAAATCCTGTGAAGGACTTTGAGATGTTTTCCTGACAAGAAAGGCCCTATATCAAATGTAAGAATTATTATTATTGGCTGTTGGCTAAACACCGGGAGAAACTCCCTTCTAATTTTGACTACAGCCAAGGTACTTTTAAGGCCCACCTGGACAGGGAGCCATGACCTCAGTTTAACGTCTCATTTGAAGGCCGGCACCTCCAACAATACAGCACCCCCCAGAGCTGTATTGAAGCATCAGGCTGGACAATACGACTTCAAAGTCACAATATGGGGCTTGAACCCCCAACGTTCTCTCTCAGAGGCCTGAGTGCTACCAACTGTGGTAGCACTGTGGTAGTAGTGGAGTCCTGTAGCTCAGTGGTTAGAGCACTCGCTTTGCAAGTGAGAGACCTGAGTTCAATTCCAGGCAGAGCGAAACCTTAGGCAAGTTTCCTTACTCCACACAGAGCCTAATAATAATCCCTCCAAAACCAAAAACAATAATAAATTGGTCATTTTCAATCTACGACTGTTTGTGGGACATTGCTGTGCGCAATTGGCTGCCGCGTTCGCCCACAAATATACAGTCAATTCACTTTGGGACGTCCTCCCGACGTGAAAAGCGCTATATCAAATGCAAGGATTATTATTATTATTATAACTGAGCCAGGCTGATACTTACCGAGTTTTTACTTAAACGAGGCAAAGCAAGATGAAACAATCAGCCTCATTTTGATGAACAAGTTACCTGTAAGGGTTGTATGTCAACACCAAGTCCAGCTTCAAAAAGAATTCCCAGGAAGTAAGCTGCTCTGTAATAGCCGCAACAACTAGCTTCCACAAAGGAAGGAATCAAGTGGCTGATCTGCTGAAGGCCTCCTGGACGAGTTAAAGTATCTAATGCCTTGTGGAAAAGTATCTCACCAACTTTAATAACTGGATACAGTGATGAGGTCAAGCCTAAAAAAATAATAAATATTTCAAGAATGCTGCAGACTGTAAATAAATTAAACATTTGACTCCCAAATTACTTGTGTTCGCAACAAATATTCACACAACGATATGTGCAACAACAACAACAACAACAAGATTCCATTTATAAAGCGCCTTTCACGTCAGGAGGACGTCCCAAGGCGCTGCACAGTTGGGTCATGACCCGAGCAGGGGGGAAATGGTCAGGGTGAGGGGAGGGAAGGGAGGGAGCGAGGAGGGGGGAAATGGTCAGGGTGAGGGGAGGGAAGGGAGGGAGCGAGGAGGGGGAAGAGAGTCGAGAGGGGAGCTGAAGGCTCGGTCAAAGAGAAAGGTTTTGAGACCGGCCTTGAAGGAGGAAAGGGAGGAAGCGGCGAAGGCACTGGGGGATGGAGTTCCAGAGCCTCGGGGCTGAGAGGCTGAAGGCCCGACCACCGATGGTAGGGCGGTTGGGGCGGGGGACGTGGAGCAGACCAGAGCCAGCATCACCTTATCAAGGAATATGGCTTATCAGGTGATACATGTAGTTCTCAGAAAAGTACAAAATAAGGAAAAACTGTAAAATGCTACATAAACCAAAGCAGGATGCGACACAACCAATGGTGTGTAGGATGCAACCTAACTAATGGTTGTAGATTATGACTTCTGTTTGTGAAAAAAATACAAACGGTGAATGAATATCTGATGTGATTTAAAGCAAGAAGTAAGGTTACAATTGTATAAATACTTTATAGCCGGAGTAGAGTTAAGGATGGAAGGATGGAATCGTCAATGGCATGTGGCTCAGCGAGATTCTTTCCAGAGAGGAAGACAGAAAATAAAGGAAAGTGAAACGACAGTGAGAGCTACAAAGCAAAAATAGGTGCCCATTTCAATTGTTTTTAGGAACAATGGCTTGTTAAAGTGCTTCAGAGGAAAGTGGTGTTGGAAACAAAAATAACATTGCTTAAATTATTATTTTAGTTCAGTTACAAATGCTTATGCAATTGTTAGTCGGTATTGGAATAATGTGTAGACTGTACTGATCAGAGTTTGCTAAATTGTAGAGTTGATTTTTAAGCATGACTTATGTTACCGGGTAGTTGGCAAAACTTTAGATAAAATGTTATATAAGTGTTAATGTGTTAAATTGGTTCACAGCGGCAGCTCTCTTGTTAGCTTATAATATGACATTACTACACTGTTTTAATTCAAGTCAGCTCATGGGCACTGTACTCAAGTACAGTCCCAGCTTGTTTAAACCAGCCTGAAAACAGCCCTCAGGTGGGTGAGGACGTGAAGATTTCCACAGATTATCCTGAGGTTTTTAAAAAAGACAATTATAAAAGAAGCTATACATTGTTCAGTCAGAATTGGTCATCTGAGTGTTCGGTTTGAGTTAGTGAGAGAGTATTAAGTTTTTCTCTCCTCCAGCAAGGCAGAACTTCTATCCGAAATTTCCCAACTCAAGCCACTCGCACTCGACCTCGACTATGTTAAGGTACCAGCAATTCTGGCAACATCAGTAAAGAAAAAGCAAAAGAGAAGAACAGAAGAACTGCAATGCTTTGAGAAAACAGCTCCAACACAACTGATAGATTCAACTTTGGTTCTTTCTTTCGACGGCCACTATTGTCAGCTCAAGAGAGCATTTGCGCTACTCCTGGCCAATACCTTCCAGGCTCAACACAGTCCTTAATTCTGCTACTGGTTGTACGACTGGATGTACCTTTGAACAAACCCAAGCAAGAGATGCTCACCAACTGCTTGTAAATTTATTGACTTTGATATTGATTTTAATATAGTAACAACAGTAACATTGCTGTACGTGAGCATAACAGTAAAACATGTTTATTGTAACTTTGTAGTAACTATGTTGTTGAACTAATGCAATTTTCCTGCCCCATTAAGTAAACAAGCTTTAAAATAAGATACAACAAGGTTACATTTGTATAGCACCTTTCAGGTCGGGAGGATGTCCCAAGGTGCTGGACAGTGTACAGCATTTCAGAACCAGCACTGGGGTCAGCGGGGAGAGGGGAGGGGAAGTGGCTGACCAATGGCACGGTCGAAGAGGAGGGTTTTGAGGTGGAACTTGAAGGAGGCTAAGGAGGGGGCGAGGCGGAGTGATTGGGGGATGGAGTTCCAGAGGTTGGGGGCAGAGTGGCTGAAGGCTCTCCCACTAATGGTGAGGCAGGTGGTTCGGGGGACATGGAGCAGGCCGGAGCCGGCTGAGCGGAGGGAGCGGGCGAGTTAGGAGGTCACAGAGATAGAGTTGGGCGAGACCATTGAGGGCTTTGTAGGTGAGGACCAGGATTTTGAACTGGATCCTCTGAAGGACTCCAATGCAGTCGGGCGAGAATGGGGGAGATGGGGTCACAGAGTTTGGTGCGGGAGAGGACACGGGCTGCAGAGTTCTGGATTATCTGCAGCCTGTGGAGGGAGGAGTTGGGAAGGCTGACAAGCAGGGAGTTTGAATAGTCGAGCCTGGAGGTGATGAAGGCACGAACAAGTGTTTCAGCGGCCTGAGGGGTGAGGTAGTGGCAGAGTCGGGTGATGTTACGGAGGTGAGGGAAGGCAGAGCAGATCATGGCTTGGATGTGGGGAAGAACAGATAATTGAGGGTCGAGCAAGACACCTAGGTTCCTGACTGGCTTGGTGACATTGGCAACATTGGTTCCTCTGTTCATGGGTTCCTCATATAATTCCGGGCTAACAAAATAAGCTGGTCTTTTCTGGCCACATCCTTTGTCCTAAGCTTCAATAGGAAGGTTAAGTCCACTCCTAGCCGTACCTTTGAACCCAACAGTGGCAAAACTCATTAGTGCCTGGCTGCTACATAAAGTGCCTCATGGAGCAAACTAGGTTTTCAGCAGCAGGGAACCCTTTGTACATAACACTAATTTGCATACCTTTGGCTCGGAGGCAATCTCAGAGTGATACACTGGTGATTCACTACTTGAAAACTTTGAAATTTTTGAATCATCGAACACACCTATGGTTATCTCCTCCACCTCCTTCTCCCTTGCTTGGCATCTGATGCCGTGACTTTGTAGCACTGAGACATTATTCCAATGTGAAGGGGGCTGTATCAATGCAAGTTGTTTTTGTTGTTGTTGCTTGTTCAGGTAATCAGATGCCAGGAAATCTTACTAGGAGAGTTTTTTCAACCCACGTCATTGTTTTACACTTACCATAAAATGTCTCTGATGCCATTGTCTCAAGCAGATCGAATAGGGACTTGTATTTGGTTTGGGCACTTTCATTCCAGAGATGTACAGGGCATTTTTCTTCCTTATGGTCCATCTTTCCATATTTTGTGATCAACTGTGAATAATAGTTCTCACTTCTATCTGTATAAAAATGTGGGAAAAAGACACAATTCGGAAAATCTTAATGGTTAAAAGAATATTAAAAAAAGTCAAAAAAGCTGAAAATAGGAACCTAAAACAGTCTTTTGGGTATGATATTCCTCCAGAATTGTACTTGTACAAGTTTTGATGTTCTGGATTTCAGATATTCTCAATAGTAATGTCCAACAAACACAATGGCATTTAACTTCCAACTCTTGTATCATGGCCCACAAAATATACAGTCAATTTACTTTATAGTATATTCTGTGAAGCGCTTTGAGACTCATAGAGCAAACTATATTTCAGCAGGAGGAACCCTGTGTACATAACACTGATTTGGACACATCTCAAAGTTTCAAAGACATGATAAGCCGCTATATCAAATGCAAGGATTATTATTATGGCGTTTGATTACCAGTTAACAGAATGCTGCGTTTTTTGTTTAGTAAGTAGACATCTGTTATTATTACCGAATACAATGATGATTTCTCAGATCATGCTATTTTCTATTAATAATGACATGGAGGGGAACAGGAGTGTGGAGTCTGCCTCTGGCTCATTCAAATTTACCACTAAGTTGACTCCATTAATCATACAGTCAGTATTAACATTGTATGTACATTTCATTCTGAATGGAAAACTTCCAGGAATGCTCTCTGTGAGTGGATCTGGAAACCTGGAGGAGACAGATATCGTTAAACAATCTAGTTTTTCCACAAGGGTCAGGCCACACAGCATTACGTAGTTTGTCTGATTTCACTACTTATAAACCAAAAGTACCAGAAAGATCTTGAGAAAGTCCATAAACAACCATTCAAAGCAACTTCCCCCTTCACCACATCTTTACCAGCACAATATAAAGCCCCCCACAGGCACAATAGGACATAGGTTTACTCCACAGTTATTGCCTGAAAGCAAAGAGTTCTCCCAAAAACTAGACTATGTAATGGAGGAAGAATTGGGCATAGTGAACATTTACTCCCTCACATTCTAAGCTGTCTACTAAATAGTGGCTCATGTGAATACATGTACATGGGCTCTATCACAGAAGTATAAATCACTGGCTTTTTATTTTGTTATTTAAAATCTCTTTGTGTCCCACCCAGAACGGTGTCTCGGTTTTCAGTCAGTATTCAGCTGTAAGATGAGCCTCTTGTACTTGATTTGGATATTTCCTACTTCCTCCATCACATGAAGGGTGTTCTATGCACAGCTTGTTTTTGTATAAACTACAGTTACTTACTCATTCGGCTCATTTTCTCGGTTAACCCAAGGGCCTGGAAATACTGCCTTATGATCTTGTTGATGTCTTGACATTTTTCATAGTATTGTTCGATTTGTTGATAAAAGTCAGCATTCAATTCAAGAGGATTTGAAATCTGCAAATATGAGAAATTACTAGTTAAAATCACAGATAATAGCCACATGCATGAGAATAAAATGTTAAACTAATAAGAGATAATTCCCATCCTTTCCTCCATGCAGCAGCATTATTAATTTGACAGGATAAAGAATGTCGATATCAAGGAAAAATGTTACAGTTCATTCAAATAGAGTATTCAACTGACCAGAACATGCCCTCAATATGCTGATGAGATAATCCCATTAGTTTTCTAAATCTGCACACTCAACCTCCTTCCTAAATACTCCTGCATTCTTTGTTTAAATTCAGTTAAATGGCAGAAATCCATAAACAAAACTCCAAAGCAAGGTATTAAACCACAGGGCAACCGAGTTAGAATGTGTTTGTTTGGGTCAATATCTCTGAGGTCACTTTATAAACAAAGCACAAACAATAGCCCCTGTTGGGTCCTCAGGTTGCAATGACATTACTTCTTGTTCGTTCAGCGACATGCGCAAGAGGCACTGTTGACATCACTTCCTTTGAGCACACAGAAAATTGTGTTATCATTTCTTTCTGCTCATTACGTGCATGCATAGACAACAAGTGACATCTACTAACTTTCTGCACATAGTGCGCACAATCCACAGGAGGTGATGTCACCGAGCACTGTACCTGACTCTCCGGATGTTGGACAATTTTTAGTGTGAACAAATAAATATTCCAGCACACATGTATCTAATTCCCATCACCTCACTACTACCTCCATGATTATCCCTGGTGATCTATTTATACAAGTTCATTCAGAACTACTTCCTAGGTGTCCCAGCTTGTAACCGATGTAACAGTAATTTGTACACAATCTTACATTATATTTTAAAACAAAATGATCCTACGGCCAAAGATTAGGTGAAATTTTGGACCTCTGAAGTGCTGACTCATACTAGGGCACCACAGAGTACCACTACCCTCCTGGACCTCCCATGAGTAGCTGTTCTTCCCAAGGAATGAGAGTCAGCTTGCTATTCAAGGGTGGATGGCATCACAGCCAAATCTCATATCATCCGTACCAAAAGTGCCAGCTATTAATGGGAGCATTAATGTGTATGGAGTCTCAAACATACCATTTTACTGTCCAATGCTCGGATCCGATAATATTTCACTGGACCAAAGAATCCTTCAAAGCTACGAACATGACTACTGCCGGCAAGTACAAAGTATCCGGATGTATCATTGTAATAAACTGGCTCAGGATAACTGAAAAAGATAAGCATTGTGTAGACGGTAACTATCATATAGTTATCCATTGCATAAAACCACAGAATGTTGCTCTTGGTCTACTCCCCTTTGATATTCCTCTTCAACAATAATACTAATACTAATAAATAATAATAATCCTTCCATTTGGTATAGCGTCTTTCATATTGGGAGCACGTCCCAAACTGCTTCACAGGACTTACTGTATTTGAAGGCGAACGCAGCAGCCAATTTGCACACTGCAAAAACAATAGTTTGTTTCAAAGAACACCCTAGTTTATTTTTAAAAAGTGTTAAGAAAGATGGCATTTACTGCTTTATTTTATTCCACATAGAGTATTCACTACTCTTTTGGGGGAAAACATATTCTTTCTCATCTTACATCTTGTTTGAGAACTGTTGATTTTCTATCCAGGTACTCCAGTTCTGTGTCCTTGATTCACATGCTAAATAACAGCTGTATCCATATGACTCAGTCCTGAAAGTGTTTTAAAAACCTGCCTCTTTTCAATCTGTTTTACGCCAATGAAAATTCTGTGTCTATCTTCATAGTGATAATCAGTTTGGAAGGTGCTTTTCAAAGTGATTTGGTGCCAAAAATGTAGTGGTTACTGAGAACAAAATGCTGAGTACCAATCAAATGGCCGAGGCCTGAGACTTTGGGCCAAACTGGTAGAAAATGAATAATGGGCCGGAAAGAGTGTAGATTCTACACTCCTCAACAGATTAACCCTGTAAAGAGGATTTTACAACATTATAATAATAATAATAATCCTTGCATTTGATATAGCGCTTTTCACGTCAGGAGGACGTCCCAAAGCGCTTCACAGAACACACTGTAAAGTGAATTGACTGTATATTTGTGGGCGAACAATACAATACAATTTAAAATTATATATGGTTTTCATGTCACGAGGACATCTCAAAGCACTTTACACAGTCTTGATGGGGACTTTAACAGTGGGGACGGAGTGGGGTGAGTGGAATGGATTTGGGGATGTTTCAAAATGGTCACCTTGACTCATGTTGGTAACAATGATATCATTAATCCTGGTCAGAATGGGAGTTGTCACTTCCCAAGCGTAGTTTCATGCAAATGGCTTGAAATTTTCCAACTTGACCCTAATATAAAACGTTAGAAAGAGCAGGAATTAGCCTTAGAGGGCTTTGAGCTTTACAGAATATACTGTAAAGTGAATTGACTGTATATTTTGTGTGTGAAATGCAACAGCCAATTGCACACAGTTGTGTCCCACAAACAGTCGTGGATTAAGTGACCAAATTATTATTTTTGGGAATTAAGGAATTAATGTCCCCGGAAAAGCAATCCGCCAATCGATTAACAACCGGGTTTCTACTTACTGCTAGATAACCAGAGGCGTGTGGAGTAAGAAAACATGCCAAACGTTTCGCCCTGCCAGGAATCAAACCCAGGTCTCTTCCTTGCGAGGTGAGTGCTCTAACCACTGAGGTACAGGACTACAGCTATAACTCACAAGGTTATATCAACAACAATTGCATTTTACTTTAAATTTAAAATTTTGAAACACATTTTTCTTCCACTTACTCATAATATGCATCTTCACGGTGTTCAAACTTTTCTCCATAGTTGATTGACAAAGTCATCTAGAAAAAGAGCAAATGTGCAAAACACACTTAGTTATTCAGAAACAGTTCACAGAAATATTCATCAATGCTGTTTCTGAAGTTCTGCTTTTTATTTCCAAGTTAGGTTTATTAACAGTGCATATAGGCTTTAAATCACCATATCATTTGCCCAAATTTTTTCGCAGAATCAGCTCATCATATACAATTCTTGGCAGAGCAGGGGAAACTTAGTGCAGTAAATGCCTATAAAAATCATACATAAAATCAACCAGGATCTTAAAAAGAGGCTTTATAATAATAATCCTTGCATTTGATATAGTGGCTTTCAAGTGTTTTACAGGATTTATTGTACTGGGTAGTGACTGTGTATTTTGTAGCCAAACAAGACAGCCAATTCCAATGTCCCATAGACAGCCATGAAGTCAATGGCTAATTTTATCTGGAGGATTGCTGACCAGGATACCAGGAGAAACTCTCTTCCCTTGTTGTGTGACCTTTGACCACAAAGGCTTTCAATACCAGATAAGCTTGATTTTATTTGTGTTAGTATTATTTTAACAGGAGCGATGTGAACCCTAAGTGATGTGAAGTGATGATAAACAATTTACTCCATCGTACATTATATGATTATTACAAGGATTCTCATTCCATTAAGATGAACCTTCTGGTTAGAAGTCACACTTTTATTTCTAACTCCAACTATTCCTGTAGCTCTGTCCTGGAGTCCTGGAGCTCAGTGTTTAGAGCACTCGCCTCGCAAACGAGAGACCTTAGTTCGATTCCCGGCAGGGCGAAATGTTGGGTAAGTTTCTTTACTCCACTAGCCACTGTTTACCTAGCAGCAAGTAGGAACCCGGTTGTTAGTCAATTGGCAGATCGCTTTTCTGGGGATAATAATCCTTCAAAAAGAACAAATATAATTTGGTCACTCAATCCACGACTGTTTGTGGGACACTGATGTGCATAATTGTCTGTCGTGTTTCGCCCACAAATATACAGTCAATTTACTTTACAGTGTATTCTATGAAGTGCTTTGAGATGTCTAGAAGATGTGAAAAGCTCTATTTCAAATACAAGGATTATTATTATTCCCAGTTTTCTAATTTTCGGCTTGGCTGCACTTTACCTACACACTATAACCAGACTCAAATCACCTCCCTCCCATAATATAATAATAAATAACATAACAATAATAATAGTTGCATTTGATAAAGTGGCGAGAACGTCAAACATCTCAAAGATTTTCACAGGTAATTGCAGTCAAGTAGTTACTGTATATTTGTAGGCAAACATCGCAGCCAGTTTGTACACAGCCAGTTCCCGCAAACAGTGAAGTGAATGACTAATTTAAGACTTTTAGCCTGGACCTTTTAAAAAAGTTCCTTCTTCTTTTGAATATTGTCATGGAAACTTTAACATCCATCCAAACAGGGTTCTGCTGTACATACAGGTTGAATATTCTCTATAAAATAGAAGTAATGACAGAACAAATGGATGTAATAATTCAGAATATCATTTCAAATTCAAGATTTCTGTAACTCCATCTCTTGCAATGGCCTAGAATGAGGTTCCTTAAGTGAAATCCAATATCTCCTGTGATTCTGGAACACGTGCTTATACTTATTGTTTTTTTTCATGCCAATTGTTATGCCCAATGGCTTTTACACTCTTTTCTTTTATAATGTTTTTTTTCCCATATACACCAAAGCAAACACTGTCCATATCTTTAACATCTAATAACTCTCTGGAGAACTGCTTTTTCTCAAGGCACTTTTTTTGTTATTTTATACCAACTGTTAAAACTACTGATGGAATACACTTAAGAGGTGTGATGTACCATTTGTCCAAGGAATTTTATACACTCCTACCACAGAATTAATTTGGTGCAATTGAAGTCATGTGGCAAACACGAACGTATGTTTGGTAAGAAATCTGTACTGGAAATGCGTTCATAAAAGTGACAGCGGGAATGAAGACAGACTATCTCGGACATGTAATGTGACCTCTGCAGTGTACCCTGTGTGTATTACACCGACACACAGCAATTCAACTCTGACCAGAGACCTCATCAGAGCCAAGTTCCCATGAGTCTGCATAACTTATTATATTATTATTGTTAATAATTACATGGGATTCCTGCAGGATTTGCACTTCATGGCCCAAGCTTTATAGTCCTGACAACTATTTTTCCAACCAGCAGGGTCAGTGTTTTTCATAACCCAATCTCCTTTCCTTGAAACATTTTTTTGCTAACTTTTTCAATTTGAAAGCTCTTGTTTATTTTCTTCTTCCTACCGCCATTTATCCAGTATACTGTAGTTGCTGGAGCAACATTTTTCGCAAACCTATGTTCAAAGGCTGAAAACTAGTTTTCAAAACTGGTTTCTCAGCCAATGATGACTCGAGATTGACAAAGGCTGTACAACTGCATGAAACAGAAGATGTTTCCTGGTTTACTAACAGGCACAACCACTGCTTTCATAATCCATTCTTTTTCTCTGTCTGATTTTAACAAAGTTAACAACAATGTTTCCAATAAGTTGAACAGGGAAAAACTAAAATTAAACTTAAGAAAACTAAGGCCAGGTGGCAGTCCGGGGCGGCAGGTGGAGAGGAGGTCAGAACGGCAGGAGGGGCAGGTTGCAGAGGCAGGTTGGGGCAGGTCGGGGGGGGGGGGGACAGATCGGGGTGGGGGCAGATCGGGGGGGGCGGCAGGTTGGTGGGGGTGTCAGGTCGGGCGGGGGGGGTGCAGGTCGGCTCATTTTAAACACAACAATTTTGTTAAGAGTTACATCTTTCTGAGTCTGTCCGTTGGCTGCAACATTAACCAAGGCCCTGTCTGCTTATTCAGGTGGACGTTAAAGACTTTGGAATACTACTTGAGCGGAGAGGGAAGTTTTCTCTTGGTAACCTGGCCAACAAATCCCCTGATAAAATAGTCATTAATTTCATGGCCATTTGTGAATCATTGCTGTACCGAATTGGCTGCCATATTTGCCTACAAAATACAGTCACTACACTTTACAGTAAATTCTTTGAAGTGTTTTAAATGTCCTCCCAATGGGAAAGGTGTTGTATCAAATGCAAGGATTATTTAACTGCGTATTTTGCGGTGCATTCGTTGCAGTGTTTTTGAATGTGTAACTTACCTTTCTGCCTCGCAAGGAAAGATCCAAGCGACACCAATGCCTAAATGGCAGCTTGAATTTTGATTTTCCCGCATTATGTTTCCCTGAGGACAGCTTCATCTGAAAGTGTATATTACCTAAAAGGAAATCACCAAAAGATTAGTCTTACTTATTACAGCTTAGCTAAGTTAAAAACGACATTGGTGAAAATGGAGTGTAACATATGGTATTCCTATCAGGATTCCCAAATAATTATTCAGAGTTCCGAGTAATACCTGGCAGTACCTGGATTTGGGCACCCAACACATGAGAAATCTGCCACAACATGATCTACTTTGGGAAAGGAGTTCCAATGGGTTGGGGGAATATTTTTTCCTAGCAATGTTTCAAAGCTACCGGCAAATTTGAACACTCATAAAAGCACTGCTTACCATCTTGGGTTAGAAACAGCAAAGGTGTTCCATAGGTCCGATTTGCATTGATGTAATGGATGATTCCGCACAGATCCTGCTTACACCCACGAAGTACGTAAATCCACATTGAAATAGTAAACCTATCAGACATATCAGAATAAATTAACCTTACCTATAATATACAAGGAGTAGAAACACAACTGATTTAGGCACCGTTGGGACTAAAGTGTAAAACAGTAACACTTATCCAATTAATGAACAATAAAAAACAAGGAAATAAATGTCCACACTGTATCTAATTACTTGCTTTATCATGTGTGTTGCCTGTCGTCCTGAACATTTTTGCTTTCTTGGTATATGTGACTACTCTTCAAAACACTTTGCGAACACTGCAATGCAATCTTTCAATTTTATGAAAACTTTGATCAGATCAGATAATGGATTATTTGAGTGTATTAATAAATAAAGATGGACGTTGAAATTTGTTAGTTCGTTATGTAGGTAAAACAAATATCAGAATTAAAAATTAAATACCACCTGCTGGTAGGGAATATCTAAGAACATATCATTTGGGATTTTTCCATTGTACCTTGGATTATTGGCAGAATGTTTCCTGATAATTTCCAGTTCCATGTTGTCAAATTTGCTCAGTTTTTTTACTACTCCAAAATTTCTACCAGTTGATGCAAACGGGCCACGTAGCAATTGAACAACATCTAGGAAAAATAAACATTTTTAATATTCCCAATGTAAAGATATTTCAATTCCATAATTTGTTACAACAACAACAGCAAGTTGCATTTATATAGCATCCCTCATGCAGGGTAGCGTCCCAGAGTGCTTGATAGTGGCGGAACATTATCTCCGAGCCAAAGAGAGGTGACCGTAAGCACGGTCGAAAAGGAAGCTCTTCAGGCACGACCTGAAGATGGGCAAGGAGGGGGCAAGGCGGAGGGATTGAGGGAGAGTGTTCCAGAGTTTTGGGACATAGTGGTTGAAAACTTGGCCACCAATGGTGGAACGTAGGGTATGAAGGGCAAGCAGGAAGTCAGAGCCAGTCAAGCAGAGGCAGCAGGTAGTGGGTTGGGGAGTAAGCAGGTCAGAGGTGCCACGGCATGAAGGGATTTGAACAGCAGTGTGAAATCGATCTGTTCAGTGATAGGGAGCCAGTAGAGGCTGGCTAGAACTAGAGTGATGGGGTACAGAGTTTAGTGAGGGCAAGTATGCGGGTGGTGGAGTTCTGGATCAATTGGATTTTCTGGATAGTCAAGCTGGGGAGAGCGGCGAGGAGGGCATTTAAGCTGTCAAGGTGGGAGGTGACAGATGCATGAACGAGTGTTTTGTCTACATTTGGAGTAAGGTGCAGTCGGAGAATGCGGTGGAGATGGAGGAAAGCGGTCCTGGTCGGGGACTCGGTGTGGGATAGGAAGGACAACTGTGTGTAGAACCTGACGCCTGAGTTGCACACTTTACAATAAAGCCCTCTTAAAATAAATGTTTTGGCCAAACAACAAGTTGACCTGAAGTTGGATTTAGTATAAATTACTATACTTTAGAACACATTGTCTAACTGATACTAAATGGTAATTGCTTCAATATAACTTTTGGAAGCAGAATTTGCAATAAAACTTTGGAGCACGTCCCAAATCTGAGAAGAACATGTACTTACTAAAGCTGAATCCAGATAAAATCTCCACATCTGATCTCTATTCCTGATCTAGTGCCACTGGCTGGCTGGCACACCAGCAGCAGCTCCCACACAGGTTGCCTATCACTCAACTGTAGCAACTCCTGAAGCTGGAGCAACACAATCAAAAAATAGGCAACCACAACAGACACATGCATCAGCCATTAAAACTAATGTAGGTGTCAGGGCTATCCAGAAGCCTTGCAATGAGCCTCACTCACTACATGCATTGTATTGTACATGCCATTTCCACCTCAAAAATCACAAACATTTGAGAACATGTTGTAACTGGAGAACAATTAATAAACTTTGTATTTGACACAGTGATTTAATACATCAAAGATCTCAAAGATTCTCACAGAATTTTCTGTAAAGTGTAGTGACCGCATTTGTAGGCGAATGCAGCAGCCAATTTGTATGCATCAATGACTCACAAACAACCATGAAGTGAATAGACCATTTTTTCTTATCTGGAGGGGTTATTGGTCAGGATACTGGGCTTTTTTATTCCAATAGCGTCATGGGATCTTTAAAGTCTTTGATGAGGAGGAGGGAGAGGAGGCGACCATCTTTGAAGCTGGCACGGAAGCTGCACCTGTCTTAAAGAGGATTGACCACTCAGCCGCTCCCCCAAGAATATTTCACCCGCCACTTGCACACTAATCGGACCTCAGTTTAAAGTCTTATCTGAATGACAGCACCTCACACAATGTAGCAATCCCCCAGCCCTTTGGAATATCAGCCTCGCCTATGAGCTCAAAGTCCCGATGTGGGGCTTGAACCCACAATGTTTTACATTGAAGGTGAGCCAGGCTCACACCAATTATAATGAAAAATGAAAAAAAACGGAATATCAGCCCGAGGTGCTTTGTAAACAAGTTACTACGACAACGCAAAGAGAATAAGGAACTAGATTATAAAATGAGCATGTACTAAATTGTGCCCAAATGAGACATGACCATAATCAATGTATTTTGCTATTTTAATTTCTTTTTATTATTTAAAAAAATGAGAGTAACATTGTGGGTAAGTATTATTACTGGTTAATACTTACTCACTTACAAAATACTAAGTCACTTTACAGCAAAATTCAGTGAAGCACTTTGAAATGTGCTCCCAGCAGGAAAGGCGCTATATCAAATACAAGGAGTATCAGTATTATTTACTATTTGCTTATTACACTGAATGATGGAAATTGGAAATATCAAGATGTTAAATAAGTCTTTGTAGGCTCTACTGCACTATATTATCCATCAGATTGGCTTTGTTACGATAGCTAATTCTTTGTGGAGATGTGGGAAAAACAAACAGAAAATAAAAGAAGCACCTGACTCATAATCGGTCTCTTAAGAGACAGTAAGTAGTCATTGGCATGGGTGGAACAGTTGTTACGGACTCCAGTACATTTGCTCTATTTAGGTAACTCAATATTTAAGAGCAGACCTACTAAAATAGAGGAAAAGTTTCAAATGTTAAGACCATGTTAACAACAAGACATTACACTGGAGCATGACCATATGGGCCACAGAGCTGACTCTGGTGTGTGTTAGCTTGCCTCACTTGCCACACTATCAACTCTGGGTCACGAGGTTGTGCACTGTCTAGGTTAACTTTCCTATCAGACTTTAGAGACACAGATTAAGGCCCTTGACTATTTAATTGGTAAATTCACAGCTTAAAGTGAATCAAAGCCATACAGAACCTTAATAGATCTCCACTTCATGCTGAGTTAGACAATATCACCTTCAGTATCAGATGTGATGGGTGTACTACAATTTGCCTGTTTACCCTTGGCCTACAAGGGATGGGAAAGGAATCAACAAAGGTTCCTGACTGTCACCCAGTGACTTGGAAAATACATTTGTATAGATGTAGATGAGTACAAGACCAGCTTGGCTGTGCTACTCTCCACAGAAGAATAACCAGCCAGCACTCACTTCTTAGGCTCAAACATGACAAAAATCATTTAAAGTACTGGAGCGTACCCATGGAAGCAGACTCTCAATCCTGAGTCAGAAGGTTATGGGTTTCATCTCCACATTGCAACCTAGGCTGACACTCCAATACAATGCTGGACAACTGCTGCATTGCTGGTAGTGCTGTCCTTCAGTTAAAGCATTAAACTGAGGTCCCATCTATCTGTTCAGGTGGAGTTAAAAATCAATGGCACTATTCAAAAAAGAGAAGAGAGTCCTGCCCAACATCACCCACAAAAATTGGTCATTCACTTCATGGCTGTTTGTGGAACACTGCTGTCTGCAAACTGGCTGCCACTTGAGGCAAGGTGACAGATGAGAGACAACACACCATCCACTCACTTGATCAGCAATGATCATTGCTGAAACTTCTTACAAATCCCATTAATCCCATTGTGTTTTGAACTTAGTTTATAGCTTGGAATAGTTTCAATGGAAAATTCCCAAGCAATTTCATGAATGCTGTGTAAAAGACTGGTTTCCAGCTACAATTTTTCTTTTCCATTCCGTAATTATTTGCAATGATACACTGAATAAAAATGACAGAATCCATGTCTCTTGGCATTTTTTTATTTTGTAAAACCTGAATGCCAAAACAGATGCACATGATTCCTGAATATATATCCACAATAAACATACAATCATAAGAGTAAGAGGTTTCCTACATTTTATAAATGATTTAGATTCAATCACATATTTAGGGATAGACTTAAGATATGTATATATTCATATAATTATTCCAGTTTAGTAAGCTTAATAAAGTGTACATACCACTCTCACGCAAACACTGGGGGATTCGCTTTTCTTTTATCTCCTGTATCTTCTCTGTGTCCCACCGAAGAGATTGCTTGTGATTTTTGTATGGCCTTTCAAAGGGATTGAGTGCCTCCAGTAATTTGTAGGTCCTGGTCACAGCTTGTTCATAAGTAACTGCATCGCTGGTATTATTTGCCCCAATATTTGTGGGTGCAATCCAACCTCTCAATATTACACTGTTTACGACAATAGATTGTTTGGTAAAATAATCAGCTCTGTATAACATAATGCTTGGAAACTTTATCTGCAAAATTCGATTTCTCAAAGTGTGAAGATATTTCTCACATTTCCATCTTCTTTTGTAAACTGGAACCCCAATTTTGACATCGGATGAAACGACAACCTCAACACCAACAGTACTGGGCTCAGAGCACATGTATTCAATTGAAAGTGTATAGTGAGCAACTGCCTTGTTTGTTGCATTAATGAATTGAATGGAATCTTTATAGTTTTCAGCTCCACGTTGTAAAACAGATGTAGTCTGGGATGTATTTGCACCATATAAAGGTGCTGGAACCTGCATTGAAAAATATAATATAAACAAATGACTATTACATTCAGTAAACGAGAAATGATTTTAAATTTGTTTCAACATAACCACATATTTGTTGGTGAGATGATAATAATAATAATCCTTGCATTTGATATAGCGCTTTTCACGTAAAAATCACACGAGGAAATGCTTAAAGCAGACAAATGACAGTCCTGCAGGTGCTGCTGGAGGTACTTCAATTTGACAAACAAATCTGAGGTTTTAGTGCTCTGGGACACTACCCTGAGTGAAGAGCGCCATATAAGTGCAAGTTGTTGTTGTTCACTGGTACACTCATCTCCACATTGTCTTTTCCACAGTATCTACTTGTGTACTGTAAATTCTCAGAGACATTTCTGAGGGTTTCCACTACCACTGCTCAGCGTCAGCTAGTAGACATGTTGAATTGGAGCCTCAGCTGAGCATTCTACTTTTCCTCCCCCTTCTCAGTTGGTACATCATCAGCACTATGTAGATCACAAGTCAGGATTTCCATGTGGATAGAATCCACCTTCGAATGTGGTTGTTAATGAATCCGAAGCCATTCTCCCTGCTAAGCCAAACTCCAAGCCTTCCAAATGCCCCAGATGTAAGATACTATGAATTACTGATTTTTTTTAATACAAACGATTAGAGGTCTGTAAATCATTATAAGATTAAAAAATAAATAAAGCCCACATGGTACAACAATTAGCTGTGTCATGGAGTGGACAGTCTTACTCCACACTGGGATTAAACTAGGTTACCTCAGAGAAACGCAAATGAGAGGCAAAGGATTTTCTTAGCAGAGGGCCAAGGAAATGTAGAAATAAAATATGAATGTAGTCCTACATCTCCTGACATGCGATGGGTATTGGTTTTGAGAAAATAATTATAATCATTTGGTTTTGCAGGATCTAAATATATTTACATCCTGATAACAACACAAAACAACAACAAGATTACATTTGTATAGCGCCTTTCATGTCGGGAGGACGTCCCAAGGTGCTGAACAGTGTACAGCATTCCAGACCCGAGCTGGGGTCAGGGAGGGAGAAGGGAGGGGAAGGGGGGTGACCGATGGCATGGTCAAAGAGGAGGGTTTTGAGGCAGGACTTGAAGGAGGCTAAGGAGGGGGCGAGGCGGAGTGATTGGGGGATGGAGCTACAGAGGTTGGGGGCAGAGTGGCTGAAGGCTCTCCCGCTAATGGTGGGGTGGGTGGGTCGGGAGACGTGAAGCAGGCCGGAGCCGGCTGAGCGGAGGGAGCAGCGGATCGGTAGGGGATTAGGAGGTCGCAGAGGTAGGGTGGGGCGAGGCCATGGAGGGCTTTGTAGGTGAGGACCAGGATCTTGAACTGGATCCTCTGAAGGATAGGGAGCCAATGGAGTTGGGCGAGAATGAGGGAAATGGGGTCACAGAGTTTGGTGCAGGAGAGGACACGGGCTGCAGAGTTCTAGATTATCTGCAGCCTGTGGAGGGAGGAGTTGGGAAGGCCGACAAGCAGGGAGTTTGCATAGTCAAGCCGGGAGGCGATGAAGGCATGAACAAGAGTTTCAGTGGCCTGAGGGGAGAGGTAGTGGCGGAGTGGGACGATGTTACAGAGATGAGGGAAGGCAGAGCGGGTCATGGCTTGGATGTGGGGAAGAAAAAACAGTTGAGGGTCGAACAAGACACCTAGGTTCCTGACTGGCTGGTGAGTTGTAGTGTGCAACCATGGAGGCTGATGCTGCCAGAGCCTGAGGTGCTGAGGCGCTGGCGTGAGCCAATCAGGAGGGCCTCAGTTGTTCACATTCAACTGTAAGAAATTTGCCCTCATCCAGGACTTGATGTCCAACAGGCAGTCTGTCAGGACAGCAGTGGTCCTGGAGTTGAGGGCAAAAATGGCAGTAGAACTGAATTTCAAACTGACAAAACATGTTTTTTTAAAAAGATCCAAACTTTAAATAACTGAAGATAAATCACTAATCCAGATCTGGGTGGAGGTTTGCGAACTCTTCCTCTAAACAGTGAATAGTAAATAAGAGTAAATAAAATAAATAGTTTTGGATCCTCCTCCTCCTCCAGAATACCAAAGCTACAATCTTCCCATTATAGCATCAAGCCATTTCTTAAAAGCATTCTTGTCCCGACCTCAACTCGTCTACCTGGCAATCCATTCCCATTGCTGTTGGGCACCTGAAAGCAATATTTCAGGTTTGAACATCTTATATCACTCCATTAAACAATTTATTCTCTCTCTATGAGGTCCTGTTTCCCCGCCCCAAAAAGTTTTCTTTTGCTACTGAAGATGCATAAATTACACGAATCTCCCTCATCATTCTAACCCCAGGGATCATCCTGATTCCTCTTCTCTGCATCACCTCTATTGCCCAGGTTGCGGCTTAGGACACAGCAACCAAAATGCTTAGCAGTGCTCATAATAATCGGAACAATGTACAGTTTGAGCGTGACTTGTGAAGATCTGAACAACTGATTTGGCAATGCAACAAGCATCCTGTTTGTCTTGTTTATTGCTGGCTCACATTTGGATGTGGTGAGCTATCATGTAACAAATAGCTATGTTTCTTTCAACTTCCCCCTTGGCAAATTCAATCCTATCTGTAGGATGCACACACCCCTTAGCTTCATTTTGAATATGCAGTGCCCTTCACTGACATAAGTTTGTAAAGGTGACTCTCACTCTCACGACTCTCTCTGTATTTTGTCAGCCACCATCTGGAAAGTAGTGGTTGCAGATTAAATGAGGTGATAATGCCTTCCAAAATTTCTGTTTCCCTGCACCAAGTCCATTTCGAATTCAACTTCCAAAAAAAAAAGGAAAGTCCTGTGAGAACCAGTCAAGCAACATCTATAATAATATTACAATAATAAATTGGTCATTTTCAATCTACGACTGTTTGTGGGACATTGCTGTGCGCAATTGGCTGCCGCGTTCACCCACAAATATACAGTCAATTCACTTTACAGTGTGTTCTGTGAAGCGCTTTGGGACGTCCTCCCGACGTGAAAAGCGCTATATCAAATGCAAGGATTATTATTATTATTATCTACATCTCCCCTCCCACCCCACATCCTCCCTTCCCATCCTCCAAACTGGAGGGCTGGAAAACTGAAAGAAAAGTGACAACGCTGTGATAAAAGGAGAGAGAGAGAGAGAGAGAGAGAGTGAGAAAAAGGCAAAAGTTGAATTTAAGTTGGACACCTCTAAAGCCACGTCCTCTGCAAGTCGACATCACTTACCAGCACGAACAGGCACACCAGCCTGAGCAGCCGCCCAACGCTCTCCATCTTCAGGCAGGTGGGCAGCACAGGTGATGTGCACAGCATCCCAGCCCTCAGGGATGGGCATCTTCCATTGGATTGTACCTTTAAGCGATCAATCCCCGCCCAGTGCCGACAGCAACATTTGGGCTTTGGGATTCGATGGGGCAGCTCAGGGTATTGAAAGTCAACCAGTGAATATTCAGGGCTGGGCTCGACCTGATCGGCTCTGGGTGAAGCCCCAGCCTGGACCTCTGATCCAGCACCAGGTCTCCCAGGGAGATGCTGAGGCTCCTGCAGGGTGTGTGTGTGCAGTGTTTGCAGTGCAGTGTGTGTGCAGTGTTTGCTGTGTGTGTGCAGTGTTTGCAGTGTGTGTGTGCTGTGTGTGTGCAGTGTTTGTGGAGAAGGTGGGATTGGGAAGGGCAGGTAGACGTGGAACAACAGCAGATGCTTCCGGGATCCACATGGCCAATGGGGATGGAGACAGCTGCCCCCAGAGCAACCCAGGAAGATCCAGCTTCGAACCACGTCCTTATCCTGGACCCGGTGTCCCCTTCTCCAGGATGGGGGGGGGACCTCAACATAAACAACAGCCGCACAATGCAAACATTGTGTAAAGGGTCTCTTCATTTCCAGTTACAACCACCGATCAACCCTTTTTGTTTTGGTGTGTGTGTGTGTGTGGGGGAGGGGGGGGGATATTTTCTAAGATCAATCGTTCCCCTGGTGGCAAAGGTATAGTGTACCTACTGTGGTGCTGTAGGCAGGTGGCAGTCAATTCAAAGACAGAGGGGGTAGGTAATTCCAGCTGCAAATTCCAGCTTTCTCTCCCTGTCTGAATCAGCCAAATATGTGTTCTTTCCCCCAAACCCCGACTGGCTGGTTACACAGTGCATGTCAACAGCTGCAGATTCTCTTACAGCATAAGAATTATATGAATTCATCACTTTCGTATGCTGTCACTGATTTTTTTCATAATGCTTCAATGGCATGGTATTACCAGTAACAATCTTTGCATTTGATACAGTGCCTTAATCATGTTGTTGAGACGTCTCAAAGTGCTTCACGGAATGTATTGTAAACCAGAACAACTAATTACGTTTGTACAGTGTATATTGCGCACAGCAGAGTCCCACAATCTGTCGTGGATTGATTGACTACTTTTTTTAATATGATGAAATGGTATTGTTATTGGAGTTGGGGTAATGGAGTGGTAAATGGAGTCACATTGCGACTGAGTTGCCTGCAAGGTGACACAATTGGAAGAATTGAATTGGATACTGAGCCAGACAGGACTGCAGGCAATGATCTAGCCTAGCTCCTCTTCAGGACTTGGAGAAGCAAACCATTCACTGGAGGCAGGATTTTTTCCCCTTTGGCATTTGTTAACCCTACAAGACAAAGTCCTAAAGGGTAGCATGGTGCTAGCAGGCAGATTGCCAGATAATACTCACAATTTGTTTAATGACCTGTGCAGTTTTAGCTGTATAGTACCCCACCCGTAACCTCATCAGAACCCTCAATCTACTTTCTGGGGTCTGTGAGCCTTGGGTTTTGCCAACTTGTGCCCAGGACTCTGTGGAATTAGATAAGCAAAGTGTGTCCCTCCAGGGAGGGTGTGCATTCCATTCCATACATTGGGAAATTTCCATGCATAGATGGCATGTATATGTAGAGTTCAGTCTGTTGTAGTGCTGAGCTTCATTTTAATTTTTTCCCAAATTAAATAGTTCTAATGAAACATTAGGTCATTAAACAAATTAAAAATTTGTCTAATTATTCCAGTAGTTATAGTTTATTTGAGGTGATTTTTGTGTTCCACACAGTAAGGAATGTTATGCTGGGAAATGGAATGGTTTCCTATTGGGGCACCAAATGTCAGGATCAAGTTTGACCAGGTCAGTTACAGCATGGTTAGATGCAGAATAAAATCTGTCTTCTCTGCCTTGGAAGAGCATCCCCTATTGTACCAATTCAGCACTTTAATAATATAATCCTTGCATCTGAAGTTGTCTTATCTTGTCAAATCTCTGAAATAGAGTTTTCTATAAAGCATACTGACCATGCATTTTTGTAGGTGAACTTAACAGCCAAACTGCACGTAACAACAAAGTGAATGACCCTTTTTAACCTGGGGCATTGTTAACTAGGTCACCAAGAAAAACTTCTGATCAGTGTCGGTGACTAGAGAAAATTAATTCAAATTAGTTAGTTCAAGTGCAAATGAGGTTACAATTTTTTCGATACACAAATCAGTTAGGTTATGGAATGCCCTGCCAGGAGAAGTGGTTGAAGCAGAATCCGTTTTGGCCTTCAAGATAAATATTTTTAAACAAGAAGATTACATTTGTATAGCACCTTTCACGTCAGTAGGACGTTGAATTTGAAAGATTCAGCTATAGGGGAGAGGACAGGAAAATGGGACTGAAAGGATTGCTCTAAAGGAGCCGACACAGGCATGATGGGCCGATTGGTCTTCTATGCCATAAATTTCTATGGTTCCTTTCACGTCTCAATTAAGATCTTTAACATCACCTGAAATGGCGGACATTCAAGTCCAATTGTTCTTTGTCCTCTCGGAATTGCCAAATTTAGCAGTTTTGTGCTCGGAGGCTGTGTCAGTTAGAAATTGGGTTAAGACTTTACAAATAAATAAATGGAGTGCTAGGAATCAAACTCAGAATAGAATTTCATCACATTGGTATGGCCTGGATTCAACCCTCGAGATAACCTGTCAGTGTTAGCACCCCTCCTTGTTCTTGTAGAACATTTGTGTGAAGAACCTGCTGTAGGAGACTGACTGTCAGTTCAACACAAAGCGAGCCGCATCATTTGCGGCAATTTTCTTGATTTTGAATTGAATTTGTTTGAAAATTACACTGAATCCACTGAATAACTTCAGAGAGAAATCACCAAACTTTAAGGCAAGTCCCTTCCCAAATGTTTACAACCAGAGCAAGTACTCCTGAGAGTGTAATGTGGGCAGCAGTGGCGTTTTCCAGTTGTTGTCCCTGACCCCAAGCTCTTGTTACAAAGTGGTAAGGTTTACACCATGTGGTTGGGTGACTTGTCCAGGTCTTGTGTGAGGACCTTCAGGCTGAGGGTCAATCACGTGACCCGTGCCTACCTGCCAGCATCAAAGATGGCGGCCGCTCCGCTGTCACAGCCGCCGCTGCGCCTGCGCCGCTCCTCCCGCTTGCCCGGTTTCCGGTTCCGGCGCCGCGATGTCGCGGGTTGGGGGTGGGCTGCTGCTGTTCGGGGGCTTCCTGGCGGCCGTCACGGCGGCGCTTTACCCCGTTTACATCCACCCGCTGATGCACATCGAGCAGTACAGTAAGTGAGGGAATACAGCGACCGCCGGGGCCTGGGACACCGACAACTGCTGACGTCACCCTCACCCACTGCTGACCTCACCCACTGATGACCTCATTCACCCACTGATGACCTCACCCACTGATGACCTCACTCACCCACTGCTGACCTCACCCACTGATGACCTCACTCACCCACTGATGACCTCACTCACCCACTGATGACATCACCCACTGCTGACCTCACCCACTGATGACCTCACTCTCACCCGCTGATGACCTCACTCTCACCCGCTGATGACCTCACTCTCACCCGCTGATGACCTCACTCTCACCCGCTGATGACCTCACTCTCACCCGCTGATGACCTCACTCTCACCCGCTGATGACCTCCCTACCTGGTGGTCTCCTTAACTCACTCACTGGTGACCTCACTAACTAACTGACAAACTAACCAGTGACCTCCCTAACTGACCAAGCAGTGACGTTGGTAAGAAACCAGTACCAATGCATTGTTACAGCGCCTTCGTATCGGGAGAATGTCCCGAGGTGTCGGACAGTGAAGAGTTTGCACCAGGGCTGGGGGTTGGCATCCAGAGGGTGGGAGGATGACTGAAGACACTGTCAAAGGGGAAGGTCTTGAGGTGGGCCTTGTAGGAGGCGAGAGGGGGAACGAGTGAGGTGAAGCGTTTCCAGGACTGAGTTCCAGAGAATGGGGGCGGAAAGGCTCGATTGCTGATGGTGGGGCAGGTCAGTGCCCACCGAGGGGAGGGACAGATTGGTCAGGTCAGGTATTAATAGGTCACAATCATGGAGGTGACCAGTGTCGACCTTCCCCCCCCCCCCCTCCCATCTCAGACCCTCAGTAGGTTCTGTGAAAACATTTGAGATGGCCTCAAGTGCCATCATTTTAAAACTGTTATTGTATCCTTGACTCCCAACAGCCTCAGCAATGGCTTTTGCACAACAATAAATGCACTAAGGTTGTTGGCTTTGGTGCAGCATTAGCACAAATCAAGATATGGTACCAATACCACTTGCACATGTTTTATTCCAGGGGCACATTACATCTGGAAAAATCTAAATTTTTCTGCACATAAGAGAATTTCAATCCATTCCATCTACACATCTATCAGGCTGCTTGCAGCTGATTATTGTAAAATAGGATTAGTGAGATGTTAATCATTAGAGAGAGCTTTAAATACTCTTCTGAATTTGATGTTCAGTATGATGAATGCAAAATGCTGCATCTAGCAAGTTAACAATAGGAGGAATGTTTATAGCATGGATGTGATAGAACAGGGGTGTTGAAAAATATCCAGTGGACTTGTCACTACGCATATTCATACAGTGCGAGGCAGCAATAAACAAGGCAAACGGTTTGCCAAATCTACTGAAATCTTCCACGTGGAGAGCATGATAGAAACGCAAATTGTTGTTGTGCAGAGTAGAGCAATTAGATCATTACCATTGTTAAGAGAGATGAGTATGAGGAACAACACGATAAATGAGGACTCCTTTGAAAATAGATGCTTCAGACAGCAACTTACTGTGTGTGTAAAATCTGGAGTTGGATTTGAAACCTTGATGTGCCCGAAAAGCACTTTACACAATAAATTAGTGACTCTCATTGGTAGCTAATTGGTATCAATTGTATCATAAACTACTCACCTTTTCAGAATACAGAAGGTGAATTGGAATGGGGAGGGAAAGTGAGGAGAGGGATATAATCCTATTTATTGATGTTATATTGCTAATTTGAACCATGACTACAAAGTTTAAGTAACGGCCACCTGTACCCATTGTCATGACAATAAAGTGATATTTACATCTTAAGTTTATTTTATTGGCCTGCACAAGTTGGACTATTAAATATTTCCCAAAAAAAACTTCAGTTTCTTTAAAATAAACAATAAAACATATAAATAATTTAAAAGTCTCAATAATGTTAGAATGTTGTAAATATTGTGGTAGTATGTTTCATATATGCAATATATTCAGTAAAAACATCTAATACTCAATAGGGACTAATGTATTCCGTAACTGATTTACAGACAATAATATAATAATAATAACCCTTGCATTTGATATAACGCCTTATCACGTTGTCGGGAGGTCTCAAAGCAATTCACAGAATATGCTATAAAGTGCTTTTGATTGTGTGAATATTTAATATTCTCATATGTAAAATATTGTTTTTTATACAAGTAAGGTACATATTTCATGGTTTAAAATCTGGAATGTTATTTCTCCCATGGGAATTTCAGTGCTGCTGCATTTCTATTGCAGTTGTTGGTGCATGAAGCATCTGCACATCAACTGGTTCAGAAAGGTTGTCAGCCATTCAAGTCAGCCTGGCAACTACTGCTAGCTGAAAATGCATGCATTGTTGAAATGTTAATATAAGAGGGTTTTATTTAATTTATGTAGCTGGATGTTGTAATACAGTAAATTCCTGATAACTCATCACTCCAGAGGGAAAGGGGCTCAGTGACAAGTTATCTGGAGTGGCGAGTTAGGCATGTATATAGATACATAAATGCATCTGGAATATTGACAGCATGATGACTTGAATGTTAGTGACAAGTTAAGCCGGGGTCATTATCAGGAGTTCACTAAGTATTTGCAGTATTTGCAAAAATGATCTGAGAGCTAGCGGCAGCAAATGAAAAGCGTTAACCCTATAAACTCCATTAACAGCAGCAGCATTCCTTTAGTAAATGTGTTTGTGACATGGTGAACTTTTGTAAGATACAGAAACCTCACATAAGCCGAATCAGTTGAAACCATACATTTAATATGACTTATGCAACGTATGAGCTATGTGAAACTTGCACAAGTTATAGGAAATTCAATGGGACATGGGCAGGTGGACGATTTAGCCATTGTACGATATATACAGATCAGACTTATGTGAGTTTTATTGTATTGTAAATAGATTATTTATATAGTTCTTAGAAATATATTATAAATTCATTTCAATTTAAGAATATATGGCATTAGAGATGAATTTGTCGGAAATCTTGCCCAGATATATGATCTGATCTTTGTTTTCATTTCAGTGCTAATGTTAAACTACTTATACCTTTGCATGTCATTTGAAAGTTCTACATATATGGATTTTATTTTTCGAGTACACTTTTGGAAAGAATACAAAATAAATTATATACATCATTTTATACTTTTTTTTAAATGCAGAGCAGCAACAGAAGGTGAATCGAACTGGAATAAATCAAGAAGAAATCCAACCTGGAGGTACAAATGATTAAAGTATTAGTTGTCAATTATAAAATGTTTCTGGCCAAACATTTTTGCGTTTTATAAAGTTACATTTCAGAAATGTGTGCAACATAGATTGCACAAGAGGGGAAGGAGTTCTAGACATTCTTCCAGTGTTTATGTTTCATAAATAAGCTTAATTGCAATTAATTAAATTGAGAATTCTAGTCCAGTACGTCTCACATCAGTGGTAGGAAAATACCGCAGTTGATGATAAGGAAAAATCTGGTAAGCACCTTGAGAAGAATAAATTAATCGGGAGCAGTCGGTAGAGAATTTTGAAGGACAGATCATTTGACTGTCACAAAAAATTGTGTTTTTTTACTTAGCGCATAGATGAGAGAAATGTAGTGGATGTTTTGTATCTGGCATTTCTTAAAATAATATCAAAAATTTAAAAGTCAGGATATTAAAGATGAAATGATCGAGTGGATAGAAAGATGGCTGAGGGACAAAGTGCTGAGAGTGGGAATCAGCCTAGCACAATGTAACTAGTGGTTTGCAGAGGCGGGCGCAGAAACCATTTGCAGAGACAAATGATGGTGTTGGGTCGTCGGACTTGAGTCAAGAAAGTGCAGCCCATTGAGGTGGATCAGGGAGGAAAAGCAAACAGGACAGACTAAATGTAGATGCTTTGCTGAAATCATCTTTATCACAATGAACCACAATATGTGTGGGTGTAGCATGAAACAATACAAATGTGATTTTCAACATCTTGATGCACTTCTCTGTTTCATTTCAAGGAATGAAAGTCTGGTCTGACCCGTTTATTAAGAAGTAGAGTCACTATCAGCTTTTCTTTATAACGAAGAAATGGTTCAGAGCTGGTATATTTGCTGTGTTCCTGTACCAAATCATCTGAGATCATCTTATGCGGAGGCAGAGAAAATTGCTGTTGGCTGCAAAATAAGTACTTTATAGCGTCTAAAAACAGAAGCAATAGTATGTTCAGAAAATTTCGTTCTACAGTGTATTTTGCTGTTAATTTTAATGCCCTGTGATAACTGTTAAATAACGTCTTTCATTATGACTTGTAGCAGATAAATAAAAATTGTTTCTATGTGAGTAAAAGTGAATGGAAAACATTAAAGTTTGAAATCAAATATTCTGTCATGGAATGAATTCTATTTCAGTAGTGTGTGGTTATCCAATACCAGTAAGGCCACCAATTTGTTTTGTGTTTTTGGTTGTACAGCATTGTACAACACTGCAAATGTGAAATCATATTTTTTATGTTAAATTTTTTTATCTCAAAATGTAATATATGAAAAAATAATTATTTCTAGAACATATGGTAAAGTAATCATCCCTTATCTTGTTGAATAAGTAGAAACTTAATATGACAAATGCTAGGACAAGACTAAGGGTTTGGAAAGATTCAAATATTCCAGTACTGGAGGCACACAAACAAAGGCTTCATTTAATATGAAATGAATTGGAAAGACATGATCGATATGTAAAAGTCTCACCCCATTATCTTGTAATGTGCTTTTTAAAGTTTCAAACCAACATATTTTTAGAAATTGAAAATAACAATGCATTGAAAATCAATGTATAACAACAACAGCAACAACTTGCATTATATAGTGCCCTTCACGCCTGACGGCATCTCAGAGAGCTTGACCTTAAGTTGATCTTAATATTCCATTCAGTTAAGGTAAAATTACAAATTAAAATTTGCATGATGTGTTAAATGACACTCAATGCAACTGGAGGGCGTTTCAATACCTGACAGTGGAACATTGCTTTGCTAGCATTTGCCTACACATTCACAGTCAGCACACTTTTAAGTGCTTGGAGTCATTTTCATGTGATAAAGCACTTTATCAAATACAAGGATGATAACGATGAACACAATATGGACTTTCCTATATATCACTTACAGAAATGTGTCTCAGGTTGGACACAGACAGAAAAACTGAAATAATATGAATTTATACTGGTCATTTTGTACTCTATTCCAACATGTCAGCCTGACTTAGTTGTTTGCATTCTCGCCTATGAATCAGAAGGTTCTGGGTTCATATTCATAGCTTACACTCCAATTTAATGCTGGGATGCTTTACATTGTCGGAAGTGCCTTTGGATTACCTGTTAAACTGAGACCTGTCTGCCTGCTCAGGTGAACATTAAACATCTCATGGCACCAATCAAAAAGAGAAGGGAGTTTCTCCTGATATCGTGCCCAACAATTCCCCCCAGGTAAATTTGGGCATTCACTTCATGGGACAATGTATCCTCTCTCCTGTATGCAAAAATGGGCTGCTGTGTTCATCTATAAAATAACCTGTCACTTCAGAATTGCAGAGTCCTGTAGAGTTTGGTAAGAGCCCTTGCAAGCAAAAGGACTTTGGTTCGCTTCCTGGGCAGGGCGAAATGTTAGGCAAGTTTCCTTACTCCACATATCTTTATTGACCTAGCATTAAGTAGGAACCCAATTGTTAGTCGATCGCTTACCCAGGGTAATAATCACTTCAAAAAAATAATAAAAAGCAAATAATAATTCGGTCACTCAATCAATGACTATTTATGGGACATTGCTAAGTGTAATTGGCTCCTATCTTTCGCCCACAAAATAAACAGTCACTACACTTTACAGTATATTCTGAAGTGCTTTGAGGCATCTCGAAGATGTGATAAAGCGCTATATCAAATGCAACGATTATTATTATAAATCCTGCAAAGCTCTTGGGGACATTCTCCTGACGTTAAAAGTGCAATACCAAATGCTAGGATTATTGATATGTATTTCTTAATTGATATATTTTGTGAGCCTATTTGTTGAATAATAAATATGTAATCTTAACACAGTTACCAGATTGCATTTGTTTATTTTCTCAGTAAAACATATAAAATGCAATATTTACAGCATGAAAACACGCCATTCTGCCCAAATAGTCTGTACCGGAGTTTATACTCCATTTGAGTCTCCATCCACTCCTTATTCCCTCCAATACCCTTCTACTCTGATTTATGCTAAACTTATTGAACCCTTTTATAATTTTAAACATCTCTATTAGGTTTCCCCCCCTAAATATCTCTTTCCTAGTGAAAAAAGACCTAATCTATCCAGTCTATCCTCATAACCAGCTAGTAAACATACATTATACTCGTTCCATCGCTGCTACTGTATATCTTTGTGATGACTCCAAATGTAATTCAAATAAAGTTTTTACACAAATTCAGAATTACCTTTCACTTTTATATTCTATCGCTCTGGATATGGCCCAAGATTTAATGGAGGTTTTTATGGATTAATCCTCAGTCTTCCCTCATTTCCTTCAGGTTCATCTCAAGATCTAGAATTGTTCCTGGTAGACTTGAAGAGGATATTTAAAGAAACTTTCTGATACAGATGCATTCAAACTTTGTCACAACTGACTATTGAGGCTGAGAGCATAGCATTTAAAAGTAGCCAATTTTAATTTGGGTCGAGTTTGGATGAGGAAGGAATCGAAACCAGGATAATGGGGAGAAACTCCACAATTCTTTAAAGTTTTGCAAGCGGAAGTGCAAAATACATCGAATTATAAACATTTATTTTGATGCTGAGGATCTCCATTTCTATGGTGTTCATGCAGTAAGTAATAGTTGAGGACTTTCTACACCCTCAAAGTATTTTTTTCTTGTACTGTCAGCAACAACAACAACTTGCATTTACATAGTGGCCCTCATGCAGGGTAGTGTCCCAGAGTGTTGCCAAAGCGATTTTCTCTATGATAACAGAAAAGGGTAAATTGCAGCAGTAGAATCATCCTTAAAGTCATGAAACATAAAGCAGACATAAAAGGAGGATAAGCTGGAAATAAATACCGTAAACACTGTTTAGGGTTCAGGCACTGAGATTAGATAGCAATGTATTCAGCTGTACTACACAATGACTATTTAGTGGAAAGCAATGAGCAGAGATGCACTTGGAAGTAACTGATGGGAGACAACTGGTAAGCAGTGTTCCGTCAACATGCGCTGAATGGAAATGTACTTGAGGTGTGAGAACCGGAGAGTTAGGTCTTAGGTTGTTAAAGTAAAAGCAATACAGCCACAACAACAACAACTTGCATTTATATAGCACCCTTCACACCGGATGGCGTCTCAGGTGATTAAAGGCTAATGTAAGGGCTGATGTACAAGTCAATCTGTGTATCGAGCTTTGGTGAGACCCAGTCTGGAGTCCTGACCTCCCTATCACAGAAAAATTCAGTTATTAGAAGATAAGCAATTAGATTAATTTAAAATTTTAATTTGTAGACACTTTTTTAAAAAAACAGACTGAGAAAGGTCTTGAAAAGAGTTGTTTTAAATTAGAAAAGATTTGGGAAATATGGATGTGGGTAAACTTTTCCATTCTGTATAACATTTAAACACAACTTCCAAATAAGGACAATGAAAGTGAATAGGAAATGCAAGAGGAATTTTTTTTCTAAGAGGGTGTTAGACATGTGTAAACAAAAGATCAGCAAAGGTGGTGGAACAAGGAACTAAAAGGTTTCAAAAAGGAACCAAGCAAGTTCCTAGAAATTATAGAGATTTTAGTTTTTTAGGATATTAGTGAGGTAGACAACATGGTCAAATGGTCTACTCTAGCTTGAAAGTGTTACTATGTAAGAGCTTCCTGTTTTCAGCTAATAAAATAGTATTTGGGTTCAGTTCTTAATATCTCAAATAAGGATTAACTTCAAAACAGTTTCTCAATGCAAATTGATCTAAATTGAGCCTGGTTAGGTTTCAGGCAACAAGTTTATCTGTTTCACGTGAGAATAAATTACAAGAAGGTGATAGGATGTGGTTAACCTGCACAAATGTATTGTTAAGGTCAGATTACAAACATTTATTTTGATGCTGATGTTCCCTGTTTCTATGGCGTGGTGTTCATGCAATAATATTTGAGGCCCTTCCATATCCTCAGAGTATTTTTTTCTTGTACTGTCAACAACAAGAAGTATTTATACAGCGCCCCTTGCACCAAGTAGTGTCCCAGAGCGCTGTCAAAGCATATTATTTTCGCTGTAATAATACAAAAGGTTAAACTGTGCAGCACGAGAACCATTCTTTTCATTATGGCTTTGGCTTACAGGATTGAGGACATTTCTGTTGAGTACACAGGTAACCACACACTGGGGAATCAATCCTTCCACTTTCTGCTCTGTTTGACTTGATGCTGCACCTTTGTGTGTAGAGGAACCACCTAGTGCAGCTCTAAACCATACACACCAGAAGGTACAGGATGGGTCATCAAGAAGCGACGCATGGGAGTGTCAGAATAGACTATATGAGTTTCAAGTCCCTACACAGGGCTTAAACCCACAACTTTCTGATTCAGAGAGTGCTACTACCTGAGCAGGCTGACATACCAAGTATTGCTGAAAGACATTAAGATTGAAACTGTGAGCAATCAAAGTATTGTGTGTTCATGGACACTCCCATGCGTCGCTTCTTGATGACCCATCCTGCTACCTTCTGGTGTGTATGGTTTAGTGCTGCACCAGGTGGTTCCTCTACACACAAAGGTGCAGCATCAAGTCAAACAAGTCCATAGGAATGGTACTGAATCTTATCTGATTGGACAGTGCTTCTTGCTGCTTAAGATTAGGTATCAGTAGTAATGATATATTTATTACCATTCAACTAAATCGCCATCATGCTTGTGATTTACCTGAACCAGAAAATCTAGCTTTTATCCCAGTTTAGTTTCTAAATATAAGTACTTTTACTGCCCTCTAGTGCGCAATCCCAAACATTTTTTTTAAACTTCCATTCGTGATTATTAAAAAATATTTTGGATGTAATATTTATTTCATATTTTCTATTCACTAACCAAAATATGCAACATTTAAATGCATTTACAAAGTGACCGGATTGAAATCTCACAAAAATCATTAATAGTATTATTTTGCATGATTGGTCCAAATAATATTTTTATTGTATGTTGTTGTCACTATAAGTGCATAATACTTTAATGTGTATTGCCCTTTCAATACATAAATTATTATTATTATTTATTATCATAAGACACTTAGAATCACATAAATTAATGCACTGGAGGTCATTTGGCTCATCAAACTTATGCTCGCTCCTCCACTGAATCTATCTGCTCCAGTCCCAT